GAGGGGGCCCCTATTTTTATGGACTAATATACAAGATCCATATCCAGTTTGTTGTGCACTTAAAGCCCACCAAATAACTTACTGGACCCATATCCATTTTAATTGAATATATCCAATCCAGTCCAGTCCACCAAATAAGACCAGCTTACCATTTTCTCCAACTACATGACCCCAAGTGACCTATACCTAGATTGCGTTGAAAGATTATAATGGAGTAACAAATTATCATCTAAAATAATTCTTATGAGAATAATACTTGTACGTTTTGTGTACAATTTTAGCTTAGTTTCTTTACTTTGAAAAATTTATGGTTTCACGGCACATGCAATGAACAAGAACCACACCACACCCTCAAAAACTTGCGGTCACCTGAGACTGTACATCATGGACAATCACCTGAGAATTTCCGAAATTTATAAACTTTTGGATGTCAGAGAATGTTGAAGCTTTATGATATAGGTGTCTAGGAACATGTATTTAGTGGTGACAGAGCACAAATGTAAACTACATCAGAAGTTTAAGACACACTTCTAGACGGAGCATTTGAAATGGCAATCAACAGTAATATATTGACAATAAAGTTTCACCTAAACACTGTTTTCATTGACATTGAGCCCAATTGACTTTCCTTTTGGTTATTGCCTTGTGTGAAATAATCCTAATCAATGTTCCAAATTGATGTCTTTCGTCAACTTCCTTTATATAACGTGGGTGCTAAAAGTCGCCAACATGATTAGAGCTTTTGTCCTTTGGAGATATAGTGCACTGACTTTGAAGAGCTCCTCCCAAAAGCTCAAAGCCATTAATAATTCAATGTTGTATATTTGTGGCAAAGATGTTGCCTTCAAATATTCTTTCAATCTGTGAAGAGTACGTCGCAGAAAGGTTTGATTTCTTGCTAAACATTCTATCTTATGTCACTTCATACGCCAAGAAGAATGTTATTATTTTTACTTTCCTTTTGGCAGCATAGCTACTAGAATGTTTGATTGAGCAGAGTCCATTTGCAGTCATCAGCGCTGGAATTACTGATTTGACTTTCATTTTAAACAAACAAGTAGTTGATGACGGCACCTACCCTTAAGACCACATTATTAATTCATGCTTAAACCAAGGGCTTTAATTAATATGATATCATGATAGTGATTTTGTGAGTGTTTATATTCAGTGCTGGAGAAGTTTATCCTTAGATGCACTATCAAAGGGCTCTCGATCTCAATCAAATTTTATTCCTCAGATGAATAGGTCAAGGTTTATTATATATTGGGAAATGCTCTAAAATTGCACCCGGCTGAATCGGTGTTCTAAAATAGAACATAAGGCCACTTGAAATGCTTTTTTGGTCATTGGATTTTACATGAAAATTCAATTTGGTCACTGAGTAAAAAAAAAAAAGGCCAAATTGGTGTGTTTTCCAAAGTTCACAATTTATAAACATTTTGTTATCTTCAGTTAAGTGCTGTTTTTATTTTTATTTTTTTAGGAAGCACCTGCATTTTTCTTCCTCTAAAGGTTTAACACGTTGGTGGAAATTTTGGAAAGAAGATAACGAAATGTCTATAAATTGTAAACTTTAAAAAACACGGTGACTAATTTGGCTAAAAAAAATTGTTGCAATTCCATGTGCAGTTTTCACATTATTAAAAAGATAAACACATAGTTGTAACTTGTATTATATACAACTGGATGAGGGATGAAGACGAGAAAAATTCATGTCATAAAAAATAGTAATAATGAAGAAAACACATTCCAGTTATATTGCAACAGCATGATGTTCTGCCGACGTGATATATACATTTACAGTTTGAACGCTGTGAAAACATTTAGTCCTCATTCGAAACCGCAGAGAAATCAAACAAATATGAAAGTAGAACGCAGCATTCAGCCCACTTTCCCCAATCAGATGGTCCTTGCTTTCGAAAGGGCCCTTGGTTTCCTTCCCAAGGAGTTTTGCACGTACGTACGCTCATTGTCATATAGTGCACAAAAATCAACGCAAGAGGTAGACAAATCCTTATCTTGACTTAATTTTATCAATACCATAATTATGTCAATCCTGCCAATTGCATGGTCCTCAAAGGCAGGCATCACTTTACCTATTTTGTTTTTGCATGAAATCTGAAACGAACCGCCTTTGCTGTACAAAGTTAATTAATCAGTTGGTTAGCATACTAGTTGAGACTATTAAATAAAATGGTTCGGTAGATAGCACTTCCAACACCGTCAAATTAGTTTTGAGTTTGGACAGAATGATGCGATATAAAAGCTGTGTGTGGAGGAAATTTAATGTATGTTTGATTAAAACGAAAAACATATTGTTGTATAGAATCGATGATTATGAACACATTGGTATATATAATCGATGATAGTGAGCGGACGACTTTATTGACTCGTGTGATAAATGGTTATAATCAAGATAAGCAATTATAACGAGTGTTTTAGATTGCAAAAGTATGTATTAGAAAAGATATATGATCCACAAGACAAATTAAGAAGCGCTCCCATCTGTTCTGTCTATCTATTCCTTCCTTTGCTGGCCTTGATCAACATGATTACACCACACATTTATTTGGGTTTGACTTGTCAAACACGTGGACAAAAGAAACGGCTTTGCTTGGACATATATGTGCAATTAGTCAAAACATGATATATAAAACAAAATTTTGGTAACCCAATTTCCATTTTGAATAGCAAAGTAAACTCCCAATCATGGCTTCATTAATGGCTTTAACTCCATGCGATTTCAATTTTGAAAATTTTAATCGTTTTTAATGAAGGAGATAGTTTTTATTGAGGAAAGTTAGCAATCAAGTTCTGTATGACGAAGATTGTTAAGAAAAACAGACATGGTGGTTACGATTTGGATTCGTTGCAAATATTTTAAAAAGACAAAAATGCCCTCACACATGGCGGTTGCATAATTTTACCTCTAATTTCATCTTACAAGTAGGACTTGATTGCAAACTAAACTAATTACATAACTAAAATTGACAAAATCGAAATAACGATGACCAAATTGAAAACATAAGTCGATATACAAAGACCAATATGCAATTCAGCTTTAATTTGTGTATAGGTATAGTTTCAATAAATAAACCAATCACATACTCCTTCCTTCACGTGTGGGAGGTGTAAAAGCAGCTTATTTGAGAGTGGAAAAGTAACAATTTCCCAGCAACATGTTACCTCGAAAGAATCTTGCAGACATCATTCTCGTAAGTTCCAGGTCAAACAAACATGATTGCTCCCTTGGCCTTTGGTCTTCAATTGTGACCAAAGCATATGACTAATTGAGGCACACAAGTCCATGGAGAAGGATAACCATCGGGGACTCCAAAATTTCAGCATTTTCCAAGACATTAATGTTGCCTAATTTCCTTAGATGGTCTCTCACGCCAAATGTCAACCATGACCACAAGCAGATCGTGTAATACAAGAGGATGACCAACAACAAGAAGAAGAAATAGGATATGGAATATCTCCTAATATTAAAATAATTTTTTTGGGCGGTAATGTAGTAATGTCAGTGGCAGCAGTGTAATTTATGGAAAGATTGAGGTTTTGAATTAAGCAGCATTGCGGTACCTGCAAGAGTGAGATATTTATTTAGGTAGGAGACAAGACAACGTTGTAAAACCGTCAAGCTTTGGATCTTCATATGAACCCAGAAGAAGCAAAGGAGAAGACGAAAGCTGAAGGCTGCAATAATCATATACCATTCATATGTCAAAAACCCAACTGGGTTTTCACTGAATTCCTTGTGAGTCTTATTTTCAAAATTTTTGTGTTCTTCAAGTTGGATTTTTTACTATAATGTTTGCTGCACTTGCATATGTTTCTTCAGATTTTGTACGGATGAATGCATTTTGTGGATAACTTGGTGGTAAATGTTGTAGCTTTGAATTAGTTATTTAAAGCATGGATTTTTGTTCTGGGGTAGTAATTTATGGGTTTTTAAAAGGTGGTTTATGGCTTGGCGTTTGAGTTTTGGATTCTTCTTATCTGTTTGTTCGAATAAAGATATGGTGACAGGTGATAGCTTCAGAATTCCAAGTGAAACCCTTGTTGTGTGTTTTAAAGTTTCTCTGTTTCCTAAATCTTGAATGCTAAGGTTAAATTCCAAGGTCTAGATTATTTGTTCAAAATAGAAAACGAATTTCAACTCAGAGGGGATAAGTATCCTCACGATTCAGAGAAGAAAGTCATAAAGAGTGGAATCATCAAAAGGCTCTCTCTCTCTCTCTCTCTCTCTCTCTCTGTGGAGTGGATATAAACTGAGAAAACTGTAGTGTTCATTCCTAGATATCTATAAGATTCTCCTCCTTTTCCACTTTACTTGTTTGAAAAGGTCGTATTTCGGCGATCAAAATTATTTACTTTTTCAAGTCTTCATTCATATATGCTTTCCAAATGGCAAGACCAACATTCTCACTCTTTTACTAAAACTCTTCCCAATCTCCGCTCTTCAACATCACTCAATAATAATGGTGCTCGTGCTCTTGATCTTCATTATTTAGCCTTTTTATTGTCTTATTGCATAACTTTTTTTTTCTGTCAACTTAACGATGATGATGCACTGCATTTTCTGAGCAATATTTGTGGTATGAAAGCAGTTCTATACTTAATGTTAAAACCGTATCGCAGATAGAAATTATGTTCACAAAATTTAGGTAGAATGTGCTGCTATGATCTCACATGGGTTTTGCTTCAATATTTTTCACGACGAGTGTTAAAATATTCTTTTCTTTTTCCATCTTAATAACACTAGTTGTCTTGTTACCTTTCTCTGCAGAACATGTACTCTCTTTAATACACCACCAAATCCAAGCACAGTTTTCTTTGAATTCTCTGAGATGATTATGATGCATCTGCATGATTTGAAGTAGCCAAGGTTCGCTCTATATGACAACAGAGTTTTCAGTTAAATTTGAGAAATTGTGTGCCATAACAATTTATTAGTATATACGTTGGTTGCAATCAGTCAAACGAATTGGCTGAAAATGCAGGAATCACAGAAACATATAATCCCAAATGTTTCTCACGGATGTGGAGAACAGCCTGTGGAAGAACCAGAGTCCTACTCTTGGCCTCCTATCCACGGTGTTGACCACCAAGCATCCTCTGATGAGGTTATACAAGGAACACAGCTTTCAGTTCAACACTTGGCACAGTACTGCACCCATGAATCTTCGTCAGGAACCAGTACTTACCACCCTGTTCACAGTTCTCCATCTAGTATAGGTTTCTCAGCAAATGGAAGTCCAACATCACATCCAGATTTGCAGAACTACCAGTCTTGTGGCTCTCCTGTCAACCAGTCGTGCTTATCAAATGATACGGATGACTTGGGGCACAAAATGAGGGAACTGGAAAGTGTTTTGCTGGGAAATGATTTAGATGCCTTTGATATGTATGCCATCACAGATGAGCTTGGGCCTAACCAGCTTTCTTCAGAAGCAGAGAACCGGGAACAAATGATGGAGATGATCTCCAGAGGTGACTTGAAAGAGGTCCTTTGTGCTTGTGCGAAGGCATTGGCAAATAGTGATATGTCAACAACTGAATTGTTGATGTCAAACTTACGTCAGATGGTGTCAGTTTCAGGTGAGCCAATCCAACGATTAGGAGCTTACATTTTGGAAGGTCTTGTTGCAAGGTTGGCTTCTTCAGGAAGTTCTATCTATGCAGCCCTAAGATGCAAAGAGCCTGCCAGTGCGGAACTCCTCTCATACATGCACATACTTTATGAAATCTGCCCATACTTCAAGTTTGGGTATATGTCAGCCAATGGAGCGATTGCAGAAGCTATGAAGGATGAAAGTAGAGTTCATATAATTGATTTTCAGGTAGCTCAAGGCAGCCAGTGGATTACTTTAATCCAGGCTTTAGCTGCTCGGCCTGGAGGACCCCCACAGATTAGGATCACGGGCATTGATGATTCCACATCATCTTATGCACGGGGAGGGGGACTTGGTCTTGTGGGACAGAGGTTGTCAAGGCTTGCAGAGTCATGTAAGGTACCCTTTGAGTTCCATGCTGCTGGAATTTCTGCTTCTGAGGTTCAGCTTGAGGACATTGAGGTTCGACCAGGAGAGGCAATTGCAGTGAATTTTGCCTTCATGCTGCACCACATGCCGGATGAGAGTGTGAGTTGTCAAAATCATAGGGACCGGCTGTTGAGGCTGGTTAAGAGCTTGTCTCCCAAGGTGGTGACTCTTGTTGAGCAAGAATCGAACACCAATACAGCCCCTTTCCTTCCCCGTTTTGCTGAAACATTGAACTATTTCAGGGCTATCTTTGATTCAATTGATGTGGCTCTGCCAAGGGAGCATAAGGAGCGGATCAATGTTGAGCAGCATTGTCTGGCACGAGAAATTGTTAACATTATAGCTTGTGAAGGGATGGAAAGGGTAGAACGTTACGAGCTTCTCAGTAAGTGGAAGTCAAGATTTATTATGGCTGGCTTTTCACCTTATCCACTTAGCTCCTTAGTAAATGGCACTATCAAGACTCTACTGCAGAGTTATTCTGAAAAGTATACGCTCGAAGAGAGAGATGGAGCTTTATATCTTGGTTGGATGAATCAAGTACTGGTTGCCTCTTGTGCATGGAGATAAAAACACATGAATATATGCGTGTCATGGTCCTATGGAACCCCGAGATAGAACTCTTCCTAAATTAGCTTTACAATGTTGTAAAATTATGCTTCCTCCGTAATAAACTTTTCACTAAACATCTTTAGACCTCCAATCTTAAAATCCCCCATAAAACTTTTTTTATTTTTTATTTTTTAAAATTTATGCAAGTCTAATACAAATCTGGTAAGCTAAACTTGATATACTGTTTTGTGCTACATAATGCCTACTGGTGAAAACAAGAGCTGTGCTTACAAGCAACATATCAGGTGTAGGCTATGACAAAACAGGGAAGCTCAGCACAGGGGTTTCCAGTTGAATCAGACTCTTCAGTTTCCATGTCTGTCATATTAACCATGCTCCCTGCAATTGTCCTGCAAACTATTACAGCCCTTTTTATCTTGTTCCTCCTCGTAATGGTAATGGTGCTTTCACCGAATTCCTCACTATTTGTACTCAATTGAATCTCATTCTTCAGTCTATATTCTGTGTCAAAAGTTTGATTGAATTATCCTGCAAACTTGACAAGTCTGACCCTTACAAAGCTCAGAGATTTGCTTCGACTCTCCATTGCAACATACGAGCCGCTTCCATGGAGTTCCTCACCTGCAGGGCGCTTTTGATCCTACTTGATGGTTTTGAAGGATTCATAACTGCTCCTTGGACAGTCACCTCAAGGATGTTCCCTGACGGGTTTCCAACGTCCAGATCTGATTCCAAGCATTGGCAAATACATAGTCGTAGGTGTATAGCTATCTAATCTAGATAGGACTTCAGTCATGTGTAGCTGAAGGCCTCCAAATACTTCAGCATGTCCATAACTTGAAAGATTGCAAAAATTTAACCTTCTTAAGTGCATGCAGAAGTTGACTAGTGTTAAAAACTAAATTCAAAAGCTTTAGAAATTTCAATATGGTACCGAAATACATACATATAAATCAAAATGAGAGCAAAACATTTATTTACCATATAGCTGTGATGTGTATGTAGCTTCTCTGGTATGCCGGTTCCCGAGTCGGAATCTCTCTGCCATGAACAAGTAGTGCAGGAGGTTTACTATCAAATTTTTCCTTTCCTGAAGTAATGTTGCTTCTTTTGTTATATCTTTCAGCTGGCCGGCCCATCTGCCTCCTTGTTTCCAGTACACTTCGCATTCTCCTTCAACGATACCCATTGCATGCATTATTTCTGTGTGACTGAGCGAGAGAGTGTTGCACTATTTTATCCTTCCCCAGTTGCAGATTTTTTAAGTTGAACACGAACCAAATAACCCATATTTATACCTTGTACCATCCTGTTTTATTGTCAGTAAAATATAAATGTGACAATTTGTCACATTTATATTTTATACACAAAGATAACTGTGGACCTAAATCAATTTTGAGGAGAAAAAAAAACAAGAAAAGCCGTTTTTTTATTCAAGCTATAACGGGTGAGGGGGAAAAATTGAAGCTAAAACCTTGCTCGTAAAGATAAATACTCTTAACCACTTGAACTACAAGCCGCTTATCAAAAAGCCTATGTTGTTCTACTTAATATAAAATCGAATATAATAATGAGTACTGATTTTCCCACTCCTCTTTTGTCCACTTACACACCATATTTTCTTAAATTCTTAAAATATTCTATTTTCCCAAAGCAGGATCTTGGAATCCAAACAGCATTGTGTCCTGTTTTGCTTGAAAATTAACTTGCACTAATGAAATATAGCAGTGGAGTTTTAGGCCACAAACGTGGCGGCATGCTGCTACATTGTCCGTTATCCACTAAGCAAAAGACAAATGTGTGAATTGAGGAATGTTGTATCTTATATGAAAGACCAAATCTGGAAACTGCCGGCCAGTCCTTGAAAGGAGCCAAAAACCCGGTTGCCCTACGTCCGTTTTTTACTACAAAGCCAAAAATAATTCAATTGTCAAGAGCCATCTCAGCATCATAAAATTCACCTAAAGGGACACTTTGATTTGATCCGTGTGACTCATAGATAGCCTTGTAATTTGTAAATTGCTTCGTCAATTGATTGTTTCTATGCAGTCTGCATGCATATGAGGATATTTAAAACCTATTTCTGTGTGGTAGTAGAAATATATGTCTGGGTAAAACTGATTCAATTCTATTCATCTCCATATGAGCTATTTGTATGTTTACATAGGGTTTTACAGGTTTAACAAGGAAACAAAATAAACTAGGAAACAAAGTCCTAATTGTACAAGAATTAGTCAACTACACTAATTAGGAAATCACTTTCCTGAACTCACGCACACGCCAACACTCCCCCTCAAGTTGGAGCATAAATGTCACCAAGGTCCACTTGCTCAGCGTGTCCTGAAATACTCGGCTTGAAACTGCTTTCGTCAATATATCTGCCAACTGATCTTCTGACTTTACAAACGGGAACTGAAGCGTCTTGTCTTCTAATCTTTCTTTGATGAAATGCCTATCCACTTCAACATGTTTAGTTCGATCATGTTAAACTGGATTATGAGCAATATTAATGGCCGCAATATTATCGCAATATAATTTCATGGGTTTTTTAGGCTTAAAACCTAACTCCGTTAGAACATGCCTAATCCATAACAACTCACAAACACCATGTGCCATACCTCTATATTCTGCCTCCGCACTTGATCTTGCAACAACATTTTGTTTCTTACTACGCCAAGTAACAAGGTTACCTCCTACAAAAGTAAAGTAACCTGAAGTGGATCGCCTGTCTGTTTGGGACTCAGCCCAATCCGCATTTGTATACCCAATTACATCCAGATGTCCTTGCTTTGAATACATTAACCCTTTACCATGAGTTGATTTCAAATATCTCAAGATGCGATTCACTGCATCTCTATGAACTTCACTTGGAGAGTGCATAAATTGGCTTACAACACTCACAGCATATGCAATGTCCGGTCTCGTATGTGACAAATAAATTAACCTCTCAACTAGGCGCTGGTATTGCTCCTTGTTAGTTGGTTTATGATCAGTACACTCACCAAGCTTGTGATTTTCCTCCATAGGCTTATTAACTAGTTTACACCCTAGCATCCCTGTTTCATTTAATAAATCCATAACATATTTTCGTTGAGACAAGAAGATACCTTGCTGTGATCTAGATACTTCTATCCCAAGAAAATACTTAAGTGTACCAAGATCTTTCATCTCAAACTCCTTAGATAAGTACTCTTGCAGTGCTTTTCTTTCGTCAGGATCATCACCTGTTACGATCATATCATCAACATATACTATCAAAGCTGTAATTTTATTTTCTTTATGCTTCAAGAACAAAGTATGATCAAAATTACTTTGTTTATATCCAGATGCCCTCATAGACTTTGTCAACCGCCCAAACCATGCTCTAGGTGACTGCTTCAAACCATACAAAGACTTCTTTAATTTGCACACATAGTGTTTCGATTTGGAACTCAAGTTACATCCAGGTGGAGGATCCATATAAACTTCTTCTTCTAAATCACCATGTAAAAAGGCATTTTTGACATCGAATTGGTGTAATGGCCAATCCAAGTTTGCAGCAAGTGATATCAGGATTCGTACAGTATTGATTTTTGCTATTGGAGCAAACGTCTCCTGATAATCCACTCCATATCTCTGAGTATATCCTTTTGCCACCAATCGAGCTCTGTACCATTCGATTAATCCATCTGTCTTCAACTTAATGGTATAAATCCATTTACAACCCATAGTTCGTTTGCCACTTGGGAGAGGAACAAGTTCCCATGTGGAATTCCTTTTGAAGAGCTTGCATCTCATCATTCATCGCTTGTTTCCAGTTTGGATCCATCAAAGCCTCTTCTACACTGCTTGGCGTAGACAAAGAATCTAGTTGTTTGATCAACATGGAATGTGGTGTGGACAATCTATGAGTGGAAACATGGTTGCTAATTGGGTACTTCACTTTAGCTTTGGGATCCGCTTCATATTGAATCTTCGGGATACCACGATTCTTACGAACGGGTAATTGGTATGGTTGTAGATGTATCTCATTAGATGGATCGTCTGAAAACAAATCAGTTAAATATAAATCTTCAACATCAATGTTCTGGGATGTTACCTGGGTTATAGGTTCAAAAGATAATTGGTTAAATGACAGAAACTTCATAAACGGGCATCAATACATCATTCTTCTCCCCCTAACCGGGTGACTGGGTTATGGGGGAGGAGACCAACCATGACCGGTCATCAAGACTTTTGTGCGTAGTTTCTGGAGTGGCATCTGACGAGTCGATTAGTGCATCATGAACTGTTGGATGACATAACGACTCCAAAGTAACGAATCCTTCTAGGTCGAACTGATCATCAATAGTATCTGGACTTGCATGTGCCTGAACTCCCCCAAAAAAATACATTTATTCTTCTCGAAAAACCACATCCATAGTGATGTAGAGCTTTTGAGTAGGTGGATGATAGCAGCGATAACCTTTTTGATGTTGGGCATAGCCAATAAACACGCACTTGAGTGCTCGAGGCTCCAACTTGTTGCGCTGATGTGTATAAAGGTGAACGAAAGTTACACATCCAAAGACTCGTGGCTCCAAATTGGGAGTGGAATGAAGAGCACAAAACTGATGAAGGGCTTGTAATGGTGTTTGGAAGTTCAAGACATTAGAGGGAACCCAATTAATAAGATACGCAGCAGAACACACTGCTTCTCCCTAAAAAGAACGAGGCATTTGAGCATCAAACAATGAAGCTCGAACCACTTCTAACAAATGATGATTTTTGTGCTCTGCTACCCCATTTTGCTGAGGGGTATATGGACATGTTCGCTGATGTTCAATTCCATGAGCTTCTAAAAATTGACAAAGATCATGATTCACAAATTCACCCCCATTATCATAACGAAGGATCTTAATTTTTGCATGAAACTGAGTGTCTACCATCTTGTAAAACTGTTGAAATGTGGTACATACCTCCCCCTTGGTTTTTAAGAGAGAAATCCAAGTCATACGTGTGCAGTTATCAATAAAGGTAACAAACCAACAGGCACCAGAAGGAGTAGAAATTGGAGCAGGACCTCAAACATCAGAATGAACAATTTGCAAACGGCACTGTACTTTTATTCATATTCAAAGGGAAGGAAACTCTATGGCTTTTTGCCAGTTCACAAACATCACACTTAAAATTAAAATAAAAAAGTTTACTAAACCATGAAGGAAACAACTTTTTAAGGTATCCAAAGGAGGCATGACCCAACCATCTATGCCACAACCAAATAAAATACTGATTTTTCTCGGTCGGATCTCCACTAGTCTTGAAGGCTTGAGAAATCCAAGTCTCAACACTTGGTGCCAAATCCAGAAAATACAGCTTGCCCCTTCTAGTACCATAACCAATTATCTTCCTTGTGAGGATGTCCTGAAAAATACAACAATTTGGCCAAAACATTACAGTACAAAAAAGAGCATAAGTAATTTGTGCAACAGATAGCAAATTAAAATCCAATGATGGCACAACAAGTACTGAATCCAGGTGCAACGAATCTATAAGGGATAAAGAACCCTCTCCAACAACAGGAGAGGAACTACCGTTAGCATTGGATACTACCGACTGTGAAGATGGAGACAAAGATGTGATTTTATTCGAATCACATGTCATATGATTAGAGGCGCCTGAATCAATAATCCAGACATTACTGGTGGGTGAGGTGGAAGAAACATTCAATGCATAACTAGTTGTACCTGATGTAGCCATGGACGCATATGCATAAGTATGTTCATTTGATTTGTTGCCACTTACAGGGGGGTCTCTAGAGTAGCAGAGGCTTGGAGTGCCTTATGACCACTTCTTTTATTCTTAGAATGATCCCACCAAGATGGAAAGCTTACTAATTCATAACAATGTTCACGAGTGTGCTTTGAACCACCACAATGAGTGCACTTGAAAACTGGTTTGTCTTTCACCCCCTGGGTCGAGGAACTCCCATGAGATGAAGGTGGTCCCTTGGAACGTTGAACCACCATGACAGTAGCATCAAGAGAGGCGGCAGCACCAGTAAAATTGGCGCGTTGTTGTGCATCACGGCGAACATAAGCAAAACTCTGGTCAAGATCCAGTTTAGGTTCCTACGGACTTGATCAAATTCGGGATCCAATCCAAAAAGAAAAATATGAACTCGAAGACGGTCGAGTTTTTTCTGGTATGCATCAGTGTCAGCAACGCACACCATAGATGGGGGGTCGCGATGATCCAGTTCCTGAAAAAGACTCTGAAGCATGCTATAATATTTGAAAACAGGTTGGCCATTCTGTTTGAGGGTGAATGCCTTCCTGTTCAATTCGTAAACTTGAGATTCATCGGATCCATCATAGAATACTTTCTTGACAGCATCCCAAATCTCATTGGCAGTGCGAAGACAAATAAAGCGGCCCATCAACTCAGGGGACATAGAATCAATTAACCAACCTTTGACTTGTAGATTTTCAGTGGTCCACGCATCAAAAGTAGTAGCAGATTCAGATGGCATAGCAATAGAGCCAGTAAGATAGACCAACTTTCCACGAGTAGCAATTCGAATTTCCATGAGTTGATACCAAAGAGCATAATTGGTCTCATTGAGAATAACTCTTGTAGGCAACGCAGAATTATCATTCTGGATGGTGACAATCTGTGGAACCGAAGAAGTTGGAGGTTGTGCAGCGGAGGTCGAAGAACTATGCGGGAGAACAAGGGAAGCCTCGGGTGTGGTCATCGCAGCGGAAATTGATGGTGTGGAAGTATGAACTCAATATATGTGGAGGATGGATGAAAAACGTATGAACTCAATATAGGTTTGAATTCAATTAGAGGGTTTGGGATAAACAAGAAACCACTAGATCGGTGGCTCTGATACCAAGTAGAAATATATGTTTAGGTAAAACTGATTCAATTCTATTCATCTCCATATGAGCTATTTATATGTTTACATAGGGTTTTACAGGTTTAACAAGGAAACAAAATAAACTAGGAAACAAAGTCCTAATTGTACAAGAATTAGTCAACTACACTAATTAGGAAATCACTTTCCTAAACTCACGTACACGCCAACAGTTAGATTACCAAGTTGCTTCACAGGCTCGTAAACAAGCAGCTGCAAAGTTTTAGCTCCAAAACAAGCAGCTGCAAGGTGCTTCACAGCCCCTATCCTTCCCCAGTTCACTCAGACACTGAGCTGCAAATTTTTTATTTTATTTTTAATTATGGCTGGTTTTTCACCTTATCCACAATGAAAAAGGGCCTTAACTTGTAGACCAGTGGACTCAGGTTCGAATCCCCATGACACCTTGAGAAAACCACCATCCCCTTGTAGTTTAGAATATTGCTTGAATTTTTTTAAAAAACACATGAACATTTGTGTCTTTTGGTCTTGTGTATGGAAACCTGAGGTGGAACCTCTTCCCGAAGTGGTTTTCTGCTCTCATTTGTATTCTTGTTTTTTCGTTTTCTTTTTCTTGGTTGGATAAGATATCTTTTGTAGAGTGATAGCTTTACTATGTTAGAAGATCATGATTCATCAATAATACATGAACCTTTTCCATATACATCTTTAGACCTTCAATATCAAATTCCCTGATAAAACTAATTAAAAATCTCGATGGAAGTTCAATACAAATCTGGTAAGCTAAACTTGATATACTGTTCTGTGCTACATAATGCCTGCTGATGGAAATAAGAGCTGTGCTTACAACTTACAAGCAAATACATATCAGGTGAAAGCTATGACAAAACAGGGAAGTACAGCAGAGGGATTCCTCACTACCAAATATTCTGAAGTGGAAAGCAGCTTTTGGCTTTCAATTGAATCAGACTCTTCATATTCCTTGTCTGTCATATTAACCATGCTCCCTGCAATTGTCCTGCAAATTATTACAGCCCTTTTTATCTTGTTCCTCCTTGTGATGGTAATGCTGTTTTCACTGAATTTTTCGCTACTTGTACTCAATTGAATCTCATTGCTCACGCTATATTCTGTGTAAAAATCTGATTGAATTATCATGCAAACTTGACAATTTGGAGCCTTACAAAGCTCAGAGACTCGCTTCGACTCGCCACTGCAGCAGGCTACCGTTGTGCCATAGAACCTCAACAGCTCGTTTCCATCTACTGTGCTTCTTGGATGCCTCATATATCTCTCTTTGGCCATCTTCTTTACCATCTCTCTGTACTTCTCAAACCTTTCAAGCGTTTCTATGGAGTTCTGCACCCTCAGGACCCTTTTAATCCTGTTTGATGGCTCTGATGGATTTACCGATGCTCTTCGGACAATCATCTCAATGACATTCCTCGATGGGTCTCCAATGTCTAGCTCTGATTAAAGAATTAAGACAAGAAGGACATGTACCTTAAGCAACAGTAATTCTAAGCATTGGAAGATAGTCCTAGGTTTATAGTATCTATATAGGATTTCATTCCCGTCTACATGAATAATTCCAGAAGAAAAGAATAATAAAGCAAACACTGTAAAATATGATAATGGTGTTTGCTTTGCTTGTCATATATTTTTGGTCGTTACCTAACAAGTGGAGCTTAAAAATGGAGTTTAAAAGCTACTTGATTACGTTTAACGAGGTTTCATGTCAATTATAAACAACATCTGTCTCCATCTAAAACCTCACTCTATGGACTCTTGCATGGCTGCTGCTGCAACGATATGATGCAGCAGTTGACTACTGTTGAAAACTTAATTCAAAATCCTTAAAGATCTTTGTCTTTCATAATATAAAGCAAAACCAGAGCAAAGCTTTGAGACTTACCATATAGCTGTGCTTGTGTGTAGCTTCCCCGGTGCATCAATTCTCGGGCCGGAGTCTCTTTGCCATGAACAATTTCACCACCACAATTTGCCTTTCCTGAACTGCTGTTTCTTCTGTTACATATTTCAGATGCCCGGCCAACTACATCTGCCACCTTGTTCCCATTGCACCTGACATTGTCCTTCAAATACACCCACAAAGCATGCATCTCTGTTTGATTGACCGAGTGACTGAGTGAGAGTGTGTTTGTGTGTATTCTAGTTAACTCGTACTGGTGCAGTATTTTATCTTTGCAAAGTTGCAGATCTTTCTGAGTTTAAATCAAACAAATGCACCCATAACTATACCTTATACTTGATACTGTTGCTGATGCTGATGTATAAAAGATTATGCGACTTGTTACTATCTTTTTTCATTAACAGGAGGCAGGACTGGAGCCACGGTAAGCGCAGTAAAAATTAAAATAGAATAAATTGTTTTTTTTTTTTTTTTTTTTTTTTTTCCTCCTTCTTTTTTTTTTTTTTTTTTTTGAGGTCACTTCTTTTATCCTCCGTTTGAATGGAGGGAATGAAAGAATTTGGATTTGACAACAAGACTAAAATTGCTAAAAAACAATAACCACATTAAGTTAAATGTAATCGTAATCGAAATAACTAAATGTAGTACATTTAAAATCACTCCTTTCCATAAGCCACTAACACGTTTTTCTCACTAATCTACCAAAAAAACAGGTCGTCTTCTTTTTCTTTTTTTCTTTCTCTTCAACACATTGTCTCCCTCTTATTCTTTTTTCTTATCAATACAAACATGCTCAGGTGTACGGCTTTAAGCTCCAATTAAACATTCTATATTACACATCTACATCCATACTATTTTGAAGCCAGAAAAATGCATATACAAAAAAAAGTTTAGTACTTTATTTTCATGTCAAACAAGTATCTACAAAGAACATTTTAATTTTCACCCCGGGCATTCAAAAGTCGAGCACTGGCCATGCTAAAATGGATATTATACTAAAACAAAATACTGAATGACATATTCATAAATAAATAAAAATTAATGATTAAGATAAAACAAGTCCTTAAGAAGAAAGAGCAAATACTAATTTTTTTTTTTTTTTTTTTTTTTTTTTAGAAAATTAACTTGGACTGAGCGTGGCTAAAACAAATTAATTGCGTAATTTGAAGGGGCCTACAGGGAGTGGAGTTTTGGGCCACAACGTGGCTGCAAGAGTGCGTGGTGCTACATTATCCACCAAGCAAAAAGACAAATTATGTATTTAAGGAATTTTGCATCCTATTATACAAATACAAATGCATTTAAAGAGCAAGTTCAAATGCTGCCATGCCAGCCAGGGTCGGTAAGCTTTACAACAGGCCACCAGAACAAAACTACAAATAATTCTCATCTCCACAATTTATCTTCTTCTGGCTTCATCTCTAATGATTTTTCTTTTTTTCTTTTTTTTGGGTTACATTGGAGTTCGAACGGTTCAAACTGGGGTGGCATGGGGGAAGGGGGAAGCCACCACCACTATGGTGGGAACCCATTGGCTGTGTTCACTGTTTTGGTAAACTTCTTACTTTTCACTGTGTTCTATTTTTCTTTTCTATTTAGGGTCCAGAATTTTTACCTCACAGATTTTGATCCATGTGATTTGTTGCCTTGGTCAATTAATAGTTTCTATCTAGTCTAAATGTATGAAGAAATGAAAAACTACTTCTGTGTGGTGGTTGAAATACCAAGTTACTTCACAGGCTCCAAAACAAGTAGCCGCAAATTATTTACCCCACATTGAAAGGCCTATAGAGAACCTTTTGTCCTTTCCTGGAGAATGGAACAATTAAAGCTCAAACCCCCTCCACACAGCAGGATAAGAGTCCCAGCAGTTCACAGGGTCAGCATTGATCTTCCCATTGGGACCATTCTACAATGACAGGCATGAGTACAATTTATCTTTTATCTCGCCGTTTTATTGCAGCAACAGTATCGCAATCGTCAGACGCAAATGAACAATGCCCCGGCATCTACATTGCTCAAGCTTTAGCAACAGGGTTCACAATGCCAAGCAAATTTAAGACTCAGGAGCTCAATAAGCTCATCACACAGGCCAAGTAGCGAAACAAAACTTTCTTATAAATATTGTAAAATTTAAGCATTTGATCGAATTACAACACATGCGGTCAATGACTCTGAACATAGTATCAGTATTAATTCATATTTGTACATAGTATTCCCTGACAAGTAAATGTTGCACATACATCAATCGGACAGAGAAGGAATTTCGCAGCAGGCACCTATACCACATCTTTGAAATAGGCAAAGAAGAATACCTTTTGTTTCTTTCTTTCAAATTGAGATGCCCTTTGACCTTCACCCGTGGCCAAAAGAAGGGGAAAAGTAGCTTATTTCTGTTGGCTTCATCTTAAGCAATTCTATGGACCTGTTAGTACCCTTCCCATGTTCTGTGGATATGGATAAGAGGAATGATTTAAAGGTGTAATCTCGATGCTACGTGATTCACTTGGATTTTCTCTAGATCCATACTGATTCATGCCACTATTTAAAACACCGTAGTATGTTGAAACAGGGGTAGTTTGAATGGCCTTAAAATTGGAACTAGTGTGAGATTGGCGTTCCATTAGTTCAGAGTGCAGTTGCAGGTGCTCGTTGGATTTATTTTCAGCAGCAGAGTTGATTCCAACACCAAGATCGAGGCTTATGGTGTCACTTTCTTCTGATCTAATCCTCGATGGGACATTCACAGTTGTTGGTCCTGAAGTGTCATGGCTACTATTCCTTGCAGTTGGGACGTCATGGTTATGTTTCCCCTCATATGTAGTTATAACTGCTTTTGGATCATGGGATGCCCTCTCCACATGTTTTCTAACAGGGCATCCAGCATTGGTGCACTTGTAATAGCTCCTGCATAGCATGTGAGAACGATGAGAAACCCCATAAACCAGTTGGAAAAAAGTAGCAGTTAAAAAAAGACTAGAGCCAAATATTAGCCACACGATGAACATGCACATATGGGAGATACACGTAATAGAACCACTTCCTAGTTATTCAGAAGCAACATTGTAATTACAAAGTTAGCAGGGTACATTTACATACATGATAACTAAACACGCTACACAAGCATGATGCAGGTTTATCTCTAACCCAACACAATCCAAAATAATGAGGTAACATTCTAAGGTAAATAATTTATAGGTCGGTTCAATTACAGAGAGATCTAGAATACATCTATAATTTATTCTTTTGTTCCTTTAAGTTTGACGTTTAATGCAATTACTGGGGTAAAACATCAGGCGAAATTAGCAATATTCCAAATACCCCAACCATCTGTGCTGAAGGTGCCACTTCTCAGGAGTCCTTTATGAATAAGCAGGGTCTGCACAGCCCTCTATTTTCTTACATGAAAATGGGAAAGTGGCTAAGGGAGATGATGGAAAAGTTCCAGTTAAACTAAATGAGAAGATTGCAACAGTAGCAACAAAGAATTGCACAATTACCTACACTAAAACTTAATTTTGATGCAAACAGTCACTTAAAGAAAGAGAAAAAAAAAGGAAAAGAATGGAAGGCTAAAAGTTCAAATTCAAAAGACATCAATTTTTCAAATCATAGCTATCAACTGTCAGACTAAGTTCTTATACTGGATTTAAGAATATCCGCATTTATTCCTTGAGTGTGAAACGGCCAGAGGGTGGGAGAATGAACTACCAAAATCCGTCCTTACAATACCGTGTTCCATTGCAGAGAATTGTTTGAATAAATGTTATCATTAGCTCAATATTTTTCAGAAAAATCCACTAACCGTCAGAGAAGAAAGCCCAACTTTTGTATGAGTATCAGAAAGTTATCAAATTCCATTAATGTTCAGAGAAGAACGCCCAGCAATTTTATGAGCATTCACTAAGTTATCAAACAAGAACTAAAGCTACATGTTGAAACAGATGAAATGAGTCAGAATTATTGTTGAAAACCATCTGCCTGATGATAAACTATACCTTGGATTAGGATTTCCCCTCACCACTTTCTGACCATATTTCCGCCAGCGATATCCATCATCCAATATATCAACCTCACTCAGAGTCTGAACAACAACTCGTGGTTCGCGGATGGGTTTAACAACTGGTGTGACATCAACCCCACCAACATCCATCCTCCTGCTTAACAAGTTTGACACTTTGTTAGTTAGGGAACATGAACAACACAGGAAAAACATAAGCATTTCTTGAATCTCTATACCTCCTTTTTGAGAATGGGTCATCATCATCAATCTCCTCGGCCATCCTATTAGATAGTGAACCTGTGCCTTCTACACTATCATCATTTCCTGTGACAGGAGATCGTTCAGGAGTACTATTTGGCTCATTAGTACTCGACATTTGCCCATATATGCTGGATGGCTTGTCTACAGTTTGAAGGGAACAAGATTATTGGTAGCTATGATAAAAGATTATTGCCCATATATTCATAAAACAGCTAAAGAGAAATACTCTGATGCTTACCATCACGGCCGATCAAAGAGGAAGCCTTTTCAGATCTTTCTTCCTGGATAGGCATCATAGCACCAGTATTATATCGTCGACTAGGTTGAGGCTTAGGATGATCATGTGTACCCTTGTAGATAATCTCTGTTATCTGTCCATCGTGAGATCGCTCAAACAGCTTCTTCACTTCACAATTAGGATGGGTACATTTATAATAACTGCGAGGAAATTCACTTCCTTTAACGTGTTTTTGTCCATATTTTCTCCAGTTATAACCATCATCAGAAGATATGACTGAAGGCCCACTTCCTTTATGATCAAACTGTGATGTTTGGACCCCAGGATTTGGATGTCCCCTCTGACTTAAGTCATCTGAATCACCTTCAGCAGGTGCACTAGCTCCTGAAGTGACCATGTGAACAGGTGCTGACAAACTCAATTCATTTGAGGAGACCGCCATCTCACTTTTAACCAAAGGTGGAGACACGAGTGATTGAGGCTGAGCTTGACCTTGGACTAACTGGTCATTTCTCTGGTGGTTATAATCTGTAGTAACCTTGAATAAATGTGAAGCATTAGGCAACCAGTACTTTACAACGACTTTGACACACTTTCAGATATATAATGAACTCAAATCAAGATATATCATTGTTCTATAATTCAAAAAGAAATATGACAGTCCATCTCGACAAAGAGATTCATCTACCACCTTTTGTTTCAATTCTTCTTACAGTTTCCTTAGAAAACATTGGTTCTCTACAAAGCATTTTCAGAAAACAATTGTAGATAACTTAATAAAGTATTAGTTGACACAAGAAAACCAATCCAGTACTCATCATATAGCGCTTGAGACACAGAGGAAGTATGAGAGCAATACCGTAGCAAATTAGTTAAGCTTTAGAACGGGGACTTAAAAGATTTTGAGGCATTAAGTAGACATCCACCAATATTGCAAGTTTAAGTTAGTGCACAAAATAGGCCAAAGACCAATCAGCTAAACTTTGGATCTAGGCCACCATTTAATCAGTATCTTTCACTACATAAATAAAACGTAGTCCTCATAGAAGCAACTAATAAAAGGATAAATGACCAACAATTGATAAAGAAATTACCATATTTGATCCAGCATGGGGCTTAAACTCGAAACTTCCAGAATTTCTTTCATCAAAGGTATCGAAATCAGAGCACATTGTGTTTGCTGAATATGTAGTAGAACTCAGAGAACCGTACACCATTTGAGGCTTCAAAAAGGACCCAGTAGTTGGGGAAGGTTCTGCCTGCAAGACCAGAAACAATATATTTTCATTCAGGAATTCCTGATCCAGAAGACTTTTGATGGACCGAAGGGGCATGTACAGAAAAAAGAAAATTTTGTGAAAGAACAAGAGAGAGATGGCCAAGAAGATTCAGAACAATTTCCAACCCCTTTAAATGTGGCAATACTTAAACATACTGTTACATATCTGTTCAATAACAGGAAACTCTGACAACTACTCAGGCATTCTTCTGATTGGCATCACTTAACAGATATGTAATTTGTCCATCCATCCTAGACTACCAAAATAACTCTAACAAGTTCCTTCATTACCGATGCAAATGAAACAAATACTAGTAAATAAAAGATAAATTTCTTAAGTAAATCCACTAAAGATTGGAAGAGCAATATATTTATATGGATTACCCACATAACTGAAGTTATTGCAAACTGCTTTGAACAAGAACAATCATCTCTAATCACAATCAGCACAATGAAGGTCATATCCTCCATAAAACACATGCCAATGACGACTTATATCAACACCTTGACCCACAAACTTTCTAGCCTTCCTATTCCTTCCCTGCTGATGCATTTATTCCTTATTCTACATACACAAATGTAAACGTTTTTGTCGTACTTGCATCCACTGCCACCGTTAAACAAAGACAAACAAAAAGGCTAAAACCCACCACCAAAGCAAAAAGAAGAGAAGAAAGATTCATTATGCGAAAAAACAACACAGTCGATAGTAATAAAGAACAACAAAGTTCAAAGAGTTGTAAGTGAGAGCCCCATATTCCCAAAGCAATTGCTTTCGAACAATCCATATGGGCATAAAGAGAAAAGACCCAATAGGCCAATACTAGCATTACATTACTCTTAAACAGCAACAAAGCATCAGAACCTTCGGGTCCCATCCTAAGCACCCACATATAAAATCCCACTGGTTTATTGAAAAATAAAAAGAAATAAAACATTCGCAGCAAACCCATTTAATTAAATTCACTGTTATGCCACAAAACAAACGGAAATTGTAATCAGAATTTTCGAATTTGGCTGAAAGGAGGAGCATCTTTTTAGCTCACTCATCATCAACATCACATCAATTTTTTAAGTCCACAAAATTCCCTCCTACAGCATATACCACGGGGCAAAATCTCAGGCCGTTAGACCCAGTTCCCTATATACCCCATGTTTGGTCACCAAGAAAATGCCTGAGAAAAGTTCAAAATTAAAACTTTTTCACTGCAAAGTCAATCTCAGTTGCTCAGAGCAGTAGGATAACTTCAACACTCCAATTACCAACATTTCCTTTTCTCAGCAACCAAACAGAGCCTTACATTTAATTCACACCCAAAAAAAAAAATTACCTTCAAAATAAAAATTAGAAGATCATGTTTAATTTTTATGTATGTTCCCACTTCCCACACTTCACTGAGCAAGCCAAACACAGCATAAGATTCAAAAAGAGCATTTGCTTTTCCTCAGCAGCCAAAAATAAAATAAAAATCAACAATAGAAAATAGAACAAGGATCGAAACAAAACGACGTCGAAGCAGACCTTCATGTTGGAGAGGAGGACGGGGGACTCGAGAAACGACGTCGGACTGAGGCCGGGAGGGATAGTGAGGCAGGGTGACCTCGAGATCGGAAGCTTGGCCGGGGACATGAGCTTGTACTTTGCACCACCACCACCACCACCAGTAGAAGAAAAAAGGGTCGGGTCAGACCCGGGATTGAAGTCGGTTAGACCCGGATCGAAGTCATCGGAGGGTCCAGAGGGGTGGTCGAGTGTGGTCGCGTCCATAGAAAGCCGGTGGGTTTGGGTGAGGGGCGAGTCAAAAAACTGTCAAAGGGAAAAGGAGAGAGAGTGGGTTCGTTTTTGTTCAGAACAGGGGAAGAGGAGGGAAGGGCATAATGGTAATCTTCGGGGGTGTCTGTTGTGTTTTGGAAGGTTTTGTTGTCAGAGAGAGACGTGGGTTGACTTGTGGCAATGGATCTGAGTTTCATCTGCGGACTGAGCCACTCAGAGACTGAGTTTGAGTCATTGAAGACGTTTCCCCATTTCTCATGGTTAAAAATAATATTTATATTTAAATTTAAACTTAACTAAAACATTCATAGGAGAGTATTGTTTCCATACTCCTAATTTTAGCCGTTTGATTATATTCATTAAATGTGTTGGTAGTCTCTTAAATACAATTCAACAGTCGAGATTAAAAATCTATAACCAATCATTAACTTAAATACTTATTAAAGAATGTCCCAGAAAGTTACTAAAATAAAGTATTTGTAGAATGATGTCTCATCACAACTTGACTTGTGAATTATAACCATTCAATGTCAAGATTGCATTGAGTTGGAATAAATGAAGTGGCTCCAAGTGTTGACTTGTGAGCCTATTAAGGAAATCTTATGAAGAGGCTCATCACAACTTGGAACCACTTTTGATTTATCTACTCAAATTGTATTTATTTTTAGTGCTAGCATTGATTTTAGTCAAGACTACTACAGAAAAAGAAAAAAAAATGCAAAGATACTCTCATCAGATTTAATAGGTGAGAATTTATGTAACCAACCTCATATATATGAGTTAGTTGATTTTCATATCCCTAATCGTCAAAGAAATTGGAAATTTAAAAGCGAAGAGTGAAATTAGGAAAATTGAACCATCTATAAAGAGACTAATGATTTATGTTCTCAATGAGTTCTCAATTAGTCAAGGCTTAATGATTTTTAGTTTTCTTTTGATTTGCTAACAAGCAATAATTATTGAACATGCTACAAGACCTTTTTTACATGTTGATCTGCTAACACCCATATTTTACATTGAATTTAAAACTTCATTTAGATAAGATAATGGTTATATGGTCTTTTTTTCCACCAAAGTTAGAAAGGGGGAGAAGGATTATCTCTCCCACACGCACTGCCAATCGTTATGTGGTCTACTAAACATTAGTTGAGCTCATAGACATGATTTAAGTTTCTTTTTCCCTTACTTTCAAAAAAACGATTAAGAGTCACCTGTAAGTTCGACTGATGATAACATATCTAAAAGATATGAGTACAATCAATAGAGTCAATTAATGGAGAGTAAAGTTTCAACTTCATTTCATTAGTCATTAAATTAGGCCGATACGAGACTTTAGAGGTTTGAATAACTCAACCCTGTCATGTAGTTAAATTGACTTCAATAAACTGGTTCGAAAGAGTATATAATCTTAAAGAGGCAATCCAGAAGTTGTCCTTGTGCTTCCAACCATTGGAGTAAATTGTATTGTAACAAAAACAATGCATTTTGTATCATAACTGATCGAGCAGAAGAAGAACGAACCAAAAAGAATAGCCTAACTACATTATACATGTCACACCCCAAATTTAGAAAAACTTACCGTCTTCCAAAATTTAGGTGTGATTTTCTTTTTAAAATAAACAAGTTTATTAATTTTATTTTTGTAGAAACAAGTTTTTTTACAACCAACAGCACATACTATTTATTCCAGATTATAAAATTACATGGAAAACCTCAAATAATGAAATAAGGTTCACCAGACTTGGTAGCCTAAATTTATAATTACAGAGTATTTATTTTGATTATCTCACAATTTATACATTGTCAAAAACCTAGAAGTTCATAAAATAAAATAAAAAACAAAAAAACCCTAGAAGAATAAAGGCAGGCAAAAATAAGTGCAGAAGAAGAGTGCATATCTTGATCCCCAACCCTAAATAGAGCTTCGTTCAACCATAAGCTATACAAGTCCAAGGGGTCAAATAAAATGAAATTTAAAATTGAATGAACAGATTTACACCAGACGCAGGAAGAAGGGAACATCTACAAAGTGACCACATGTAGAAAACGAAAAGCTCCAATGGCGACTAAAGCAAAAATTGATAAAAGGAAAACATGAAAGAAATAAGCCCCAGAAACAAGGTTTCTGGAAGAAATCCTAACTTTTCTTCCCTAGTACCTATTGAATATCTAATATCAGAACAACTCCATTATGAGTCGACAATGGAGCCTATCTGAAGACCCCTACTCATAAGAAGGAGTTGCTGCTATGCCGTTAGGCTACAAGGCCATTGGCCAAAAAATCGTCACATCCAAATGGCAACGGTACATATAATAAATAAGAATGGAGGAGCAGCATAAAGCTTCCATTCTGTTTTACACCAGCTCTCACGAAAAAAAGAAAGAAAAAAAAAAAGAATCTATCCAGAGATGGATGTTACACAAAGATGAATACTTAATAGGGCAACCAAACACTTTCCTTCTACTCAAACATTAGAAACAGATGACAGCCCCATTTTTTAGGCATATAGGATTTATGCTTTCAACGAGCAGCATCTACTATCGAAGAGGAGTAAAGTTTTGCAAGCTACCAAAGAGGTCAAGATGGGGACAAAACAAGTCCCTTCAAGCAAAATTAATGAAAAAAGACTTCCTATTTCTTAAAACCAAAGACAGGAAAAAAGACGATTACTTGTTCACCAACACTACTTGCTCTGCAACGATTTGTTGATCACAATGATCAACCTAAAACCAACGTTAAGTTCCTACTCAATATAGGTAAAAATCATCACCTCTTTCTGAGACAGAAAAAGGGAACGCACCTCAAACTCCTTCGGTGAAAGGCAGAGTACTTCTGTTGTCCCTGTGAAATGGCAGCACAAGGAGGAGAACCCTAAAACAGGTAAAAACATGAGGATGTCTTTCCCTTTTTAGGAAAAATGCTCCCAGGGAAAGAAAATGGATGAAAAGGTCCTAAAAGTATACTGTTCACAAGAATTAGTGCTAAAAATTATATAAAAATAAGCTTTTCTACTTTCAGGCTGATTAGTTTATTAAACACCCAGAAAAACAAAAAAAATTAATGGATGACACAAACTACTCGGAAGCAAAAAATTTTGTTCAAGGAATTAGACATGTGACGCCATACATGCAACCACTGATCTTAATTACCAAGTCTTGTTGCTGAACTACAATTATGGTGAACAAAAAAGCAGACTTTGCTTTTTTGATAACCAGCATTGTAAAAAAAATGCAAAAGGCATCACACCATCCAAAAGTATACTATCACAGAACAAAGAGTAGCAAGCACTACTGAGGATAGTGAGATGGAGGATGGTACTCAGGGGGTACACCATATCCACCATAGGCAGTTTGCCTGTTATAATAGCCTGACGGCATATAATGGTCGGATGAGTATAAATGGTTACTAGCAGGGCCCGGGTTCCCAAGAAAACCCATCTGGCCTCCTGCAAAACCATACAGCCCAGCTGATGAACCCGCATAAGTGGGAATCGGAGGAGCAGTGCCTGACAAGGCATAGGCTGGCAACAAACCTGCTGCATTGACACTATTTGAGACTGCTGCAGAGCCAACTGGAGCAGTCATTCGAGGATGCTTGTTTCCATACTGCTGCTGCTTCAGTTTTTGCTGCTTTGCTGTCTGCTGTTTATGTTGCTGAGGCTTGACAGCAGGAGCTTCTGCATGGCGTTTTCTGTTTGCTTTCTCCTTCTCCAGCTGCTCAAGTCGCTTTTGAAGAACAGCAGGTGGATACTCAGATTCGAGCTTGAGGTCTTCAATAACTTTGATTACTGATTTCAAAGCACCGGTTTCTTTGGCTGTGGCCTCATTCTACAAAGAAACTTAATGAATTGTACGCCGCAGATGAACTATTAGATTTTAAGAGAAAAGTGAAATTACCATTGACTTGTGGGAGTTATTTCCATCCTTACAAACTTTCTTAGCGAGCTTCTTAGACTCTTTCAAATAGGACTTCAAGAGGGGAACTGGTGGGAACTTATCAGTCAGATCAAATTCAGAAATGAATTTGACAGCCAAAAGATGTTTTCCCTTACTTACAAGTTTCTGAATGAGATCTGCGAGCATAACATTTTACAGTTAAAATCAGAATCTACCCTAAGCAAAACAACCAAAAACTGTGCAATTGGGCGGTTAATAGGTCCATCCAAAAGGCAAACAACAATCCTGCCATACAATGCCCTCTATGGAAAGTATGATGCTAAGCATTGCCACTCCTCCCCCACAAAAAATATGCAAGTGTTTACACATTGAGAAAAATAACTGGATCTGTAGCTCTCCCCAGCACATTTTTTTCTTTTTGCCTCTTACGTATAAAGTTCCATTAAGCCTTCTAAGTAGTAAGACCATACAAGCTCTACTCTCTCTTCATACTTCTTACACAGCCTTCTCCCACAGCTTATTCATAGAGGCTAAAGATCCCAAAACTTAGTGGTTCGCCATTACGTATAAACTGCCCTCAGTAACCAAAGTCATTATTTGAGCTTATTTATCACTCCGCCTCAAGTTTGTACACTACATGATTAACAATCAACTCAAGAATTCATTCTTCCCATGAATAATAATCAATATTTCAACCGCAAATAGCTACTTAATAACTAGCATCCATTACGAACTCTCTGACTGCAACATCAAAGCACCGCAATTTGATAATGCTAAATTGAAAGATACACCCAATACAATCCATTAGCTATGAATATGAACATTTGATAACACCAAAACTTATGTATCAACATCGAACATAAATTAAATAAAAAGTCAACTTGAATGTTTCCACTAACAGAGAACTCTACCTGCAATCTTATCTCCCAAACCAATTTTCTGGCACAATTCGATAGCTTGCCTATACCGCGCAATGATAACAAAATGATCAACAAGCTCATCCATCTTGAATTCAGACTGCAGTCCATAAGCTGCCACCAAATGCAAGAATCCCAACGCCTCAAACGGGTTTTCACCATCCATACTCACCTTCCCTTTCCAAGCCAAGGCCAACTTCTTTGCTCTCTCTCTCACTTCGAATCCTACATCCGGTGAAACCCCCATTAGCACTTCCAATAACAGCACACCACTTCTCCTCACAGCAAACAATTCCGGGTCCTTATCACCCTTATCCCTCCCGTTCTCACTATAAAAATCATCTACTGCATCTAAAACCATAGCAGCAGGGTCCTTGGCGTACCGTATAGCTCCCAGGAGCTCGGCCCGGATGGTGTTTCGATTATCCAAGGTTTCATTCATATACTTTCTCAACCCCATGGCATCCATTCGCTCACAAAATGCCACCAACTCTGGCCGAGGAGGAACTGAATCCGACTGAAGACTCGTAACCGTGTTCCGGGTCGGAGGGTTTGATGAAGAAGGGTCCTTTACCACCTGGGTCGACGAAATTGATGAAGAAGGTGGGTCCTTTGTTATCTGGGTTGGTGTTTTGGTGTCTTCCGTTATCTGGGCCAATGTCAACGATGACAAAGACGGGTCTTCTGCTATATGGGTGGGTAAATTCGACGAAGAAGAGGGGTCCTTCGGTATCTGACATGAAGAAGAAGAAGGGTCTTGTGGTTTCTGAGATGGAGGGTTTGATGAACAGAGGTCTTGGGGTATAGAAGAAGAAGGATTTGAGGATTGGGACTCGAGGGTTTGGAGGAGCTGGAGTTTTTGGTTAAGGGAGTCTTTGATGGAGGTGAAGTGGGAATCGAGGTCAGACCAGGTGAGATTGAAGGAGGAGAGGACGTTGTAGTGGGCTTGAAGCTCATCGAAGGCCTTCTTTAGGTTCTCTTTCTTTGTCTCGATCAGTTCCATGGCCGCTGACATTGTTTCCACTGTCGTAGCCATTGTTTCATGAAATTGAGTTCAGCCAAAACCCCTGTTGGGAAATTGCCAATACCCGATGGAAGCGCCAGTCGAAGAACTGAATGCCCAAATAACCCCAAAACCACATTTTTTTAAAAATAAACAAATATTTTTATTTTTATTTTTATTTTTTTAAAATATATATATATATATATATATATAATACATTATGAATAAAATTGGATTCGGATCCTTTGCTTGGATTTCCTTTGCTATGATTTGCTTTACTTCTCTTTTCCGCTTGCTACCTCATTTTTAAATTTCATTTAAAATTACATCAAATAGCTACATAAATGGCATATCATACTTGAATTAAAAAACTTTTAAAAAATCAATTAACTCACACTCAACTATGTTGTTCGGATACAAATACAGGTACGTTGATATAATAAAGTATGATACGTCAAATATCAAAAAACTAGAATACGATAAGACAAGAACAAGACAATTAAAGTAATATATTTAATTAATTTTATATGAATGATTATTGAATTAACATATTAGTTCTATTAATTAAGAGTGATGTTATTTTCACCCGTTGTCTTATTTTTCCACTCACTTTATCTTCAAAATTTTATAAACAAATTTACTCCTTTGTAAAGTGACTTTTAAGGGTTAGGCTATAAAAACTCAATTTCATAAGAATTTAAAAAGAGAAAAAAATATTCCTTAATTAAACAAAGAGACGCTAAACTGCAGCTCTTTTTTTCATATTAATCAAGTCATGTCTTTTCCCAATCAAAAAGTATTTCTTCTCATCCCCATATGATTAACAGTTCTTGGCAATCCCTAATGTTCAATCCCGCGAATATGAACTTCCAAGACAATATAGAACAACCATAGACACCTCGGTTCCCACATGTACCTATTATTGTAGCAAGTTATTTTGATTTTGCATCATTTAAACCTATAATCAAACTCAAATTAAACAAACCCAACCCCTAAAAAAAATTTATTTGGCAGTTAAATAAAGATAGGAAAAAAAAATTCACTCTACAGTGACAAAACACACAAGAAAAATCATCAAAAGAATAGAACGTAAAGAAAATATAACTCCCATGTTTTAATTATGAGAAAAATCAAATGAAAGAGAATTTGCTTGAATTAATAATTAAAAGGTATTTTATGAATAATGGTGGGTGGAAATATAAGATTGTATTTTTTCAAACTTACATGGTGGGTGGAAAGGTGATGTGGGTAGGGAAATTGGAGAAATTATACAATAATTTCTAAGGAAATAGAAAAAAAGAATGAAAATAGCAGCACTCTTAATTAAATATATATTTGTACTAGGTATGGTATGGGCTAAAATGTCAAAAGTGTTTTATTAGTTGTATATATTGGGAGTTGATTTTCCCACTCATTTCCCTCCACTTACACTTCTTTTTACTTTTTAATACTTTTTAATTAATTGTGTTCTTTTTTTAGTTTATAATTTTCTGTTAACTTTTTTGTTAAAGGTTAATTAATATTTTTTAAATCAATTAAAAAATAACTATAAATACAATAAGTAAATTGAAAAACACAAACTAAATTTTCCAAAGAGGTCAAACACAGGAACCAATGTGACATTGATCCTAATCCTCTGCATTTATAATCTACTTATTTTCTTGTATTTCGCTTAATTTTAGTCATGATAATAATCTACTTAAACCTTAATTTACGCATTTTCTCGTATGTTACTTCATTTTAGTCATTGTAATAATCTAATCACCCACAACATGATACGTTATCGTAAATAGAATGATTGGGTGCCACTGCCGAGAGAATCGAGTGTGACAGAGAAAGTTGCAGAAAACCGTAACGCAAGATAGACCATGGACCCCACATTAATGCTCAGTAGGACCTGGGCTTCAACTTGTAACTCCACCCTCCCTCCCCAATGAAAAAAATAAGGGAAAAGAAAAAAGGAAGACGACATCAAAACACAGAAGCCATAGCCAAAACCAGGCAGGCGACCACTACCTCCTCGTCAAAGTATTTGCTCAACTACCATTACCTTATAGACCAAAAAGGAAGAAACAGAGTGAGTTCTTTTTCTTATCTGTTTTCCTCTTCTCTTCCAAATTGTATCATGTCTATTTGAATATGCTGCTCTTGGTACGAATACTTTTACTGGATCTGGAAATTTCATTGCCACATTATTTATTTGTCATCTTTTTTCAATTTATGCTTTTGGGTGGTTTCAAATTCAGCTCTGGGTTTGTTTTATAGCTTTGGTATTGGGTTTCTAAGTCTGAAGGTTGGTTTCCTTTGTGGAATTATTTGAGGATTTATTTCGATAATATGTTTTGTTTATGGGTGCACATAACTGGGTGGTTTTCTGGGTAGGCTTTTGACATATTAGGTTCATTTATTGGCACCTTAAAGAACTGATAAGAGTATGGATTCTTTAAAGTTACTTTTTTTCATTCATTTCAGACTCATTCCTGATAAAAATTTGTTATATCTCATTTCTGTACACTATATTATATTTGTTCCTTTTCTTTGAATGTTTTCAATCATGGCCTGCTGCTACCATTAATTGAATCTGGTTCTGGTTGGTACTTGGCTGTCTGCTGCTGAATATGTGATGTTGGGTTTTGTTTGAGTCCTCAGCCTTCTTTTCGTATTGTCTCATACTTCTGTAACTTTAGGATTCAGTCTTAAGGAAGTTTTTATGTGTAATTCTTTTCTTTCTCTGTAGATGTTTACTTTTGATTGGACTCCTATCTTTTTTTGTATCTTAATAATCTTTGTTCTCCTTTCCATTGTAATCACGAAAGGTTTCTTCTTCACACAAACCACTTCTATGGAGTTCAATGCTTTTTGGGTCCATATTTTTGAATGAAATATTCATGTGTTTCCTTCTCTCAGTTCTTTGGCTTGTGCTTGTCTATTATAAAACCATCATCGTTTGAAATATTCAAATTGTTAAAATGTTTCAGGTATAAATATTTATAATATGGAAGGTATTGTAGTAAGAAGGGTTATTCCCTCAGACAGTAGTTGCCTCTTCAATGCGGTTGGGTAAGCTCCAATACAACCTTCTATTCTATCCATTGTCTATTGCAATGAACTGAGCTGTGTCATTTAAGGTCAATTTTTCTATTCAATAGTCACCCTTCATTTGTAGGTATGCTATGGACCATGACAAGAAAAAAGCTCCTGAGTTGAGACAGGTATATGAACATTCAGGGATTAAAAGTACACCCATCATTTAAGGTCAGTTTTTGTGCATATATAGCTCCATGTTTGTATTAAGCATGCATAAGTGCGATACTTCCTGATCATTTTGTGGTCATCCATGATGTGAAGGTTATAGCAATAGCAGTAGCAAGTGATCCAACTAAGTATTCTGAAGCATTTCTCGGTAAACCAAATGAATAGTATTGTGCTTGGATTCTTGACTCTCAGAAGTTGGGAGGTTTGTTAAAAATAAATAAACTTTCCTTTTCCTACGTATATGAATATTGGTTATGAAACAAAATGAACAATGAAAAGCTTTTCTTGTGAAAGTTTTGCTTATTTCTGATAGCCAACTAAGTATCCAAACCTTAATTATACAATACTGGCTTATGTCTTCTTTGAAAGTATTGCACATTGTTGATATATTTGACAAAGATTTTGCGCCTTGACTGTTGAAGAAATAGTTTGTGTAGCCACTTGTCTATAAGATTGACTGCTCAAGAAATAGCATTTGTAGTGATTTCTCATGTATATTAATCTTGTCAGATGTTTATGCTCATTTTCATATGGGGTACTTTTGACAGGAGAAGTATTCCGAAAGGGCTCTGCTGATCTATGATGGGCTTCATTACAATGCTTTAGCTGTATGTGGTTCTCTGTTTATGAATTTTACTGGTTATCAGTGCGGACGGATAATTAAGAAGTGGCTTCACTATGGCCTCAAGTAGGACCAATTTTTTGGAAATATGTGGTTTCCTTGTTTTACCAAATGCCCTTAAATAAATCCCAATTTTCAACACCCAACCAAGTTCTCCTATGTTGTTTGAGATTTTAACGCCAAACATGTAAGCACATAGGACTCAAATCGCCTGAGTGCCACAGCTCTGTATCTTCCTAACAAATCTAATGTTAATCTCTTTCACAACAACACAGACTGCTCAATGGCTATTGAATCTTCCCTTTTTCCCATGCTCTCTTTACCTATGTGCTGAGAGACTTTGCCTCTTAGGTCTTGGCTCTTGCTCTTTTCGAGTTGTACTTTTTCATGATTTATAATTGATGTGAATTAATTTTCAATATATGTTAAAACAAAGATAGTTACTGATTTTTAAGCTATTTTATTTGTGGACATTTGCTCTCCTCTGTTTCTGATTGAGGTTAAATTTTCCCAGTTAATGGTCATTGGTTTCTGCATTGTATTGTCTCAGATGTCACCCTTTGAGGAGTTTGATCAGACTATATTTGCAGTTAAGGACAGTACCATTGAGCCGGTTGACAGGCTCGCTCTTAATCTTGTGAAAGAGCAACAAAGGTAGTGCTTATGGTTTCATGGTGGCTTCTTTCCATAGTGCACATGCAAACACTACTACACATAATATGTGAAAACATTAAATGTTCCTTGGGCTTTTAGTCTGGAATTAGCATGTTGAGATGATAAAAAATACAGAGCATGTGATTTAGGGGGATTATTTCTGATACTTCCACTCTGAACATGTAGTTCAGTTTGTAGAAGTTTTCTAGTTCACTATACATCGACCAACCTAGTTTACAAACCTATACAAGTTGAAGAGACAATATTTTTTAACTTCTAGTACACTGTCTTGAAATTTTTTTCCAGATCTCTATGTACTGAGGGCATCCTAGTTGTTGAACCTAAATAGTACTAACAGTGCACGCTTATTGCTCTGTGCATGCAAAATCTGGTTTATGAACATTTCAAAATAATAATCAATAAATCTGTGCTCGACTTAAGATGATTGAGAACTATAGGACATGTCAGATGTGTTTAGCCTGCATGTAAAGTTTTAAATCCATGCCTATCCAACAGAAAAAAGGGGATAAAAAGATTAATTTTGTTTGAACTTTTTGCCATGTTTTGCCTACTATGTTATCAAAATGCTTGAGGTAATATGTGTTTCGTCGCTCTTAGTTCCATTTTGTGCTCCTACTACTCGTATAGCTCAGGTATACCAAAATTATGCGTTAATACCATGATGCTGCTTCTCAGTAAAAGGAGATACACTGACACTGCCAACTTCACTTTGCGCTGTGGGGTGTGCTAACTTGGACTAGTCGGCCAGAAGGTTATTTCTTAACTTGCCTCTTTTGATTTTCTAAATGTGTGGTTGTGCGCATGAGATTTCCTTTAGTCTTAGTATACTGAATAAATTTCGATGAATATTCAGGAGGCTGTGGAGCATGCACGAGCGCAGGGCATGTTAACTTTCAAGACTACAGATAACCTTTGTATTCACTTATTGTTTCATGGTCCGTCAAATAAGTATAAGTAACGTTGGATTATTAAAAGGCCAATGATAGAAAAGTACTGTTGTAGCAGGTTTCCCATCATTTGATGGGTCAAATGGAATCTGGTGAATCGATCGAATACCCTTTACCTTCTTTTTTATTGCCATTCATAATGTTGCAGTTGTTCCATCTTTTACTACAAAGAAAAGTTGGTACCTTCTTTTTTTTCTCTCTGTTTTTCGTTTATGAATTTTCTCTGAAAGTTCGTTCACAGATTGGACTAAAGGACTAAGGCCTACCAAATGCTTAAGGGTAGGGGCAGATAGTGGAAAGATAACCAAAGCCGTACAGAAGCACATGAGAAGAAAGAATGTAAAGGAGGAGGTAAAATAAAAATCTAGTTCTATTTTGTACCTAATTGACGTATATAATTGCAGATTCTTATATTATTTTGTGATTACAAAATTCTTAGTAGTGATTAGCATATTTTTTTCTCAGTTGCTAATTACAATAATACGCTTGTTCTAATTTCTTCTTTTTCATCTTAATATGATTTCTTTTGTTAATGCATTTGATAATTGTATTTTCTTATAGTTAGTGGTGCGATAAGCAATTCTCTTCTTGCAACTTCTCTAGACCAGTTTGACGACTCCATCAATGTTTTATTAATATGTTCCATTTCATTTGGTTGAATTTATCTTGAGCAAACATCTCTGCATTTTCAATAAATTTGCTTAAGTTACTCTTTTGTTGGTTTTGGTAAGAAACAAACCCCGACAAGAAATGGTTAACATTGGATAACTTGACTCACTGTGAAGTTTGAAAAGTTTTCAAAACTTCGAAGTCTTGAAAATCTTAATCTTTCCTCTAAGCATCTATCCTTGAGTTTCAACAATTTCGGGTAACAATACTTGGCCTCAGCATAAAATTAACTTGTACAAGATAAATATAATGAATTTTCATAAATGAAAATTTAAAAGAAATTTTTGTTTATGAATTTGTTCTGAATGTTCATTCAGAGATTGGACTAAAGGCCTAAGGCCTATCAAATGCTTAAGAGTGGAGACAGAAATTGAAAGACAAGTAAAACCATGAAGAATTAATGAGAGCGTGAAGAAGGGGGCAAAAGTTAAGAACGATTTTGATGGACAATTTATGAATACTCGTTCCGGCTTCTTCAATACGCAAATTCGAATCATATTTGGACCACTTGATTAGTACATGGTGCAGGACACCCAACTATGTGAAAAGACAAGCAAAACCATGAAGAAGCATATGACAAGAATTAATGAGAACGTGAAGAAGGGGGCAAAAGTCAAGAACGATTTTGATGGTCAATTTATGAATACTCGTTCCGGCTTCTTCAATATGCAAATTCGAATCATATTTGGACCACTTGATTAGTACATGTTGCAGGACACCCAACTATGTGAAAAGACAAGCAAAACCATGGAGAAGCAGATGAGAAGAATTAATGAAAGCGTGAAGAAGGGGGCAAAAGTCACTAGTGACTACTAGTGAAGACAAGAACGATTTTGATGGTCAATTTATGAATACTCGTTCCGGCTTCTTCAATACGCAAATTCGAATCATATTTGGACCACTTGATTAGTACATGTTGCAAGACACCCAACTATGTGAAAAGACAAGCAAAACCATGGAGAAGCAGATGAGAAGAATTAATGAAAGCATGAAGAAGGGGGCAAAAGTCACTGGTGACTACTAGTGAAGACAAGAACGATTTTGATGATCAATTTATGAATACTCGTTCCGGCTTCTTCAATACGCAAATTCGAATCATATTTGGACCACTTGATTAGTACATGTTGTAGGACACCCAACTATGTGAAAAGACAAGCAAAACCATGGAGAAGCAGATGATAAGAATTAATGAGAGCGTGAAGAAGGGGGCAAAAGTCAAGAACGATTTTGATGGTCAATTTATGAATACTCGTTCTGGCTTCTTCAATACACAAATTCGAATCATATTTGGACCACTTGATTAGTACATGTTGCAGGACACCCAACTATGTGAAAAGACAAGCAAAACCATGGAGAAGCAGATGAGAAGAATTAATGAAAGCGTGAAGAAGGGGGCAAAAGTCACTGGTGACTACTAGTGAAGACAAGAACGATTTTGATGGTCAATTATAAACTTAGATTTGCAAGTCAATGAAAATTAAGGTGCCCATTTTAACACGCATAAATGCCTATGTACGTACTAAGACGAAAAACGACCAAATATCGAAGATATGGGGCAATTTTTTTCCAATTAGATGAATAGACGTAGGCCTTCACCCTCAATAATGTCAATTATATATCAACAATTCAAATTGGTGTAGCAGCTATAACAATGGACCTACACCTGTGTGACAATGGGACAACCTTATTGTCAAACTTTACCAACACCAAAGACAGCCACAAATCAAAGACTTGGTGCAAATGTTTTTCAATTTCTCCATAAAATTTGTCCAATAAGATGATTTAGGGAGCCCATTGTAAATGCTCTAATTGTTTGTTATAAAATTTTGAATTTAATGCTAAAATAGTTCCTTTGTTTTATCCCATTGGCCAATTTAGTCCATGTGTTTAGCACTGTTAGTTAATGTAATTCAATCCGTTAAACTTCTATTAAAATATTAATAAAATAAAAATATTTGAATTCAATTTAAAAAATAAATAACTAAGAAATAAAAATAAGATTTAAAAGCTAAAAGAAATAAAAATAATTAATCTCAACAGCAACACCCTTCTCTCTTCTCTCTTTCCCCAGCTAGTTTCCCCATCCACACCCAAAAGCCCCAAATCCCCAAGTCACAGCCACATCCAAACTCTCCCTACCCCAACTAATCCCAGTACGATCTTCCCCAACCCAACCATTCTCTGGCCATTGGTCTCATCCCAGTCGCACTGCCCATATCTTCCAGCACACTCAGCCACACGATCGTCACCCCAATCCTCCGCACCCCCATCGCTGAGCAGCCCCTCCCACCCCGACCACGACCATCCTGTTTTTTGTTTTCTTTTTTCTAATTAAGTTGCCATATGTTTTTGAATTATTTTTTTATTTTTTTATTTTTTTTATTTTTTTATTTTTATTTTTATTTTATAGATTTTCAAAAGAAGAAGAAAGGATTATCATGTTTAGGAATTGCTTCTTCAAAGTTAGTAATGATACATGTTTAGGAATTTGGTAGCTGATGAATGGAAGGCAAAAGGAATTTGGTAGCTATAGTGAGTTTCTGATGGTCAATTGGCAAAAGTCAATGGTAAGCCAGAACGATTTTGATGGTCAATTTTTTGATACTCGTTCTATACGTGTTCAATATTTGGACAATTTGATTAGTACAGGTTGGAGGTAACAGGTGGAACCCATTTTAACACGCAGAAATGCCTATGTCAATTATCGTCAAACTTTACAATGATGCTTGGTTGGTTATCTTTAAAGATGATAAATTACTATTCATTAAGCTTGTTATAAATATCAACATATCCAGTATGGAATTCCTCACAACTGTTTTATCACATAACTATATACTTTAGATTTTTAAAGAAAGATGGCTTGGTTGTCATGGTTCTGCCTCCTCTTCCTGCTCTCTACTACTTGCCAATTCGACTCTACTTGTTCATCATCCTCTAACTCTTCCTCTTCTCTTTCTTCAGGGCATTTATGCCATCCTGAAGATAGCTCTGCTTTGCTTCAATTCAAAAACTCCTTTTCTATTGATACCTCTTCTAAGCTTGAATTATTTAATGGAACAACTATATATTCTAATAGTACAATTACTTGGCAGAAAGGCAAGGATTGTTGCGCATGGAATGGAGTCACTTGTGAAAAGATGACTGGTCATGTGATCGGTCTCAACCTTCATTTTGGTGGGCTTCAAGGCAATATCCATTCCAATAGCAGCTTATTCTCTCTTGGCCATCTCAAGAGGCTAGACCTCTCTTGGAATGAATTCAGAGGTTCCCCAATTTCGTCCAAATTTGGTGGCTTTGTAAGTATGACTCACCTTGACCTCTCTCGGTCCAATTTCGGTGGCCCAATCCCTTCCGAAATTTCCCACCTTTCCACCTTGGTTTCACTCAATCTCTCCCAATTTGATGTAAGACTAGATACTCTTAGCTTCAACAGAATTGTTCAAAACCTGACCAATCTTAGGGAGCTTAATTTGGAATATGTTGATATGTCATCAGTTGTACCCGATTCCTTCAAGAATCTGTCTTCTTCTTTGAAAACTCTTGAACTCTCTGAGTGCCACTTGCGAGGAAAATTCCCAGAAAGCATTTTCGACCGACCAAATCTTCGACTCGTAGATTTAGGCTACAACTACAACCTCACAGGTTATTTCCCCAAGCCTAACTGGAGTAGTCCGCTCGAGATGTTGGATCTCTCTCATACAAGAATCTTAGTAGATTGGCATCATCTGACAAGAAATTTCAAGTCTTTGAGAGGTTTGTATCTCAACAATTGCAGTTTTGGAGGATCTAATCTTCCATTTCTTGGTAACCTCACACAAATCATGTGGTTGGACCTCTCGTCTAACAGTTTCGGTGGCCAAATCCCATGGTCGTTCTTTTTAAACCTTGAGAGCCTCGTTTACTTGAATCTGGGTGGCAACAACTATGTCGGTCAGTTTCCAGAAGTTGATAGCAACTCGACATCGAATTCTTCTTTATATGATTTTTCAAAACAACAACTGGTGGGTCCTATTCCTCGACACTTAACGAGGCTTGGTTTAGATGGGAACCAACTCAACGGAACAATACCATCCTGGTTAGGAAGTTTGCCATCATTGGAGATGTTATCCCTCGCAAGTAACCAACTCAGCGGTAATATCATTGAGTTCCAATCTTGTTCTTTGGAATCCCTTTATTTAGGGGATAACAAGCTGGATGGCCTGATTCCAAGATCAATCTTTGAACTTGAGAAGGTTGCGTATCTTGATCTATCATCCAATAACTTGAGTGGCACATTGGAGTTTGAAAAGTTTTCAAAACTCCAAAGTCTTCGTTGGCTTAATCTTTCCTTTAATCATCTATCCTTGAGCTTCAACCATTTGAGTAACAACACCTGGCCTCAACTTTTTTCACTAGATTTGTCGTCTTGTAACATAAGTGAGTTCCCATACTTTCTAAGAGCCTCACAAAAGTTGTACACGTTACACCTTTCCCACAACGGAATCCAAGCCCACATTCCTAAATGGTTGTTGGATTTGGGGAAAGATTCATTGAGTGATTTGGATCTTTCTCACAACTCTTTGACTGGCACTATAGGACAGCTTCGGTGGAAAAATCTTTACTATCTTGACCTTCGCAACAATTCACTCCAAGGAGAGCTTCTAATTCCGCCACCTTCCACATATTACTTTTTCATATCAAACAATCAATTCACTGGAGAGATACCTTCAACAATCTGCAGCCTGAGTAGCCTTCAAATCCTTGATTTGTCTAATAATAATTTGAGTGGCAAAATTCATCAATGCATAGGGAATTTCAGTCAAAGCCTCTCTGTTTTGAATCTACGGAATAATAAATTTCATGGAGCAATTCCTAGCACATTTTCTAAGGGAAACGTTTTGAGAAATCTTGATCTTAATGGAAATCAGTTGGAAGGGTCGTTGCCGCCAAATTTGCGCACATGTAGAGAGTTGGAAGTTCTAGACCTTGGAAACAACAAAATTCAAGACACATTCCCAAATTGGTTGGAATCTCTTCCGAAGTTGCAGGTTCTTATCTTGAGGTCTAACAAATTCTATGGTGAAATATGCATTCCAAAAACTAAGTTTCCATTCCAAAAATTGCATATCATAGACCTCTCCAACAATCGGTTTAGCGGTCTCTTGCCAACAAAATATTTTGAACGTTTGACGGCCATGATAAACTCGCAAGAACATGGACTGAAATATATGGGAGATGGCTACTATCAGGATTCTGTGGTAGTTACAATTAAAGGCTTGGAAATTGAAATGGAGAAGATCCTGACGTTCTTCACAATTATTGATTTCTCAAACAACACTTTCAGAGGAGAGATTTCAAGTGTAATCAGTAAGCTTAAATCATTGAAGGGGCTTAACTTTTCTCATAATGAGCTTACAGGTAAAATTCCACCATCATTTGGCGAAATGAGCAATCTTGAATGGTTAGATCTGTCTTCAAACAAACTTGTTGGTGATATTCCGGAGCAATTGGCAAATTTGACGTCACTATCAAAGTTCAATGTTTCAAAAAATCAACTTGTGGGGCCCATACCTCATGGCAAGCAGTTTGATACATTTGAAAATGATTCATACAGTGGAAATAAAGGATTGTGTGGATTGCCACTTTCTAAAACATGCAGTGCACCTCAATCACCGCCATCGTCATTCCAACAAGAGTATGATTTGGAGCATGGGAATGGTTTTGATTGGAAGGTAGTGTTGATGGGGTATGCATCTGGTGTGGTAATTGGAATATCTATGGGATATCTTGTACTCTCTAATGGAACACCAGATTGGCTTGTTAAAGTGGTAGGAAGAAAGCAACGTCGTAGAATTGTGAAAATCACACAATGAAGTGCTTGAAGAAACGATTCCAAAAGTTTATGCATTTTCATATTGTATATCATTTTTCATGAATATTTTATTATGTCAAAGGGCCAATAAATATGCATGAATTTGAAAAGAGGATCCTCTTTACTTTTGTTAAAGTAGAATAATTGCTCGTGCATATTGTAATTTGTCAAACACAATTGACAAATCAATTCAATCAATACACGTAATTTGGCTCAACTATGTTATATATTCCTGTTGAGGCCCAAAAAGTCCATGGTTGGGCCCAAATAAAATTTCTAGCCCAAGACGATATATTATTGGAAAAAGATCCGATTTGGAGCACATGAAAGTATGATATACACGAGTCGTACTCCGCACGCCATGTTAAATAAAAAAATCCCCAAAAAAAAAAAAAAAAAAAAAAAAAAAAAAAAAAAAAAAAAAAAAAAAAAAAAAAAAAAAAAAAAAAAAAAAAAAAAAAAAAAAAAAAAAAAAAAAAAAAAAAAAAAAAAAAAAAAAAAAAAAAAAAAAAAAAAAAAAAAAAAAAAAAAAAAAAAAAAAAAAAAAAAAAAAAAAAAAAAAAAAAAAAAAAAAAAAAAAAAAAAAAAAAAAAAAAAAAAAAAAAAAAAAAAAAAAAAAAAAAAAAAAAAAAAAAAAAAAAAAAAAAAAAAAAAAAAAAAAAAAAAAAAAAAAAAAAAAAAAAAAAAAAAAAAAAAAAAAAAAAAAAAAAAAAAAAAAAAAAAAAAAAAAAAAAAAAAAAAAAAAAAAAAAAAAAAAAAAAAAAAAAAAAGGACAATGTTTTGTTTATGGGTGCACATAACTGGGTGGTTTTCTGGGTAGGCTTTTGACATATTAGGTTCATTTATTGGCACCTTAAAGAACTGATAAGAGTATGGATTCTTTAAAGTTCCTTTTTTTCATTCATTTCAGATTCATTCCTGATAAAAAATTTGTAAAATTTCATTTCTGTACACTAGTACTATATTGTATTTGTTCCTTTCTTTGAATGTTTTCAATCATGGCCTGCTGCTACCAGTAATTGAATCTGGTTCTGGTTGGTACTTGGCTGTCTGCTGCTGAGTTTGTGATGTTGGGTTTTGTTTGAGTCCTCAGCCTTCTTTCGTATTGTCTCATACCTCTGTAACTTTAGGATTCAGTCTTAAGGAAGTTTTTGTGTAATTCTTTTCTTTCTCTGTAGATGTTTACTTTTGATTGGACTCCCATCTTTTTTTGTATCTTAATAATCTTTGTTCTCCTTTCCATTGTAATCACAAAAGGTTTCTTCTTCACACAAACCACTTCTATGGAGTTCAATGCTTTTTGGGTCCATATTTTTGAATTAAATATTCATGTGTTTCTTCTCTCAGTTCTTTGGCTTGTGTTTGTCTATTATAAACCATCATCGTTTGAAATATTCAAATTGTTAAAATGTTTCAGGTATAAATATTTATAATATGGAAGGTATTGTAGTAAGAAGGGTTATTCCCTCAGACAATAGTTGCCTCTTCAATGCGGTTGGGTAAGCTCCAATACAACCTTCTATTCTATCCATTGTCTATTGCAATGAACTGAGCTGCGTCATTTTAAGGTCAATTTTTCTATTCAATAGTCACCCTTTGTAGGTATGCTATGGACCATGACAAGAAAAAAGCTCCTGAGTTGAGACAGGTATATGAACATTCAGGGATTAAAAGTACACCCATTTAAGGTCAGTTTTTGTGCATATATAGCTCCATGTTTGTATTAAGCATGCATAAGTGCGATACTTCCTGATCATTTTGTGGTCATCCATGATGTGAAGGTTATAGCAGCAACAGTAGCAAGTGATCCAACTATGTGTTCTGATGCATTTCTCGGTAAACCAAATGAAGAGTATTGTGCTTGGATTCTTGACTCTCAGAAGTGGGGAGGTTTGTTAAAAATAAATAAACTTTCCTTTTCCTACGTATATGAATATTAGTTATGAAACAAAATGCACAATGAAAAGCTTTTCTTGTGAAAGTTTTGCTTATTTCTGATAGCCAACTAAGTATCTGAACCTTAATTATACAATACTGGCTTATGTCTTCTTTGACAGTATTGCACATTGTTGATATATTTGACGAAGTTTTTGCACCTTGACTGTTCAAGAAATAGTTTGTGTAGCCACTTGTGTATAAGATTGACTGCTCAAGAAATAGCATTTGTAGTGATTTTCATGTATATTAATCTTGTCAGATGTTTATCCTCATTTTCATATGGGGTACTTTTGACAGGAGAAGTATTCCGAAAGGGCTCTGCTGATCTATGATGGGCTTCATTACAATGCTTTAGCTGTATGTGGTTCTCTGTTATGAATTTTACTGGTTATCAGTGCGGACGGATAATTAAGAAGTGGCTTCACTTTGCCTCTTAGGTCTTGGCTCTTGCTCTTTTCGAGTTGTACTTTTTCATGATTTATAATTGATGTGAATTAATTTTCAATATATGTTAAAACAAAGATAGTTACTGATTTTAAGCTATTTTATTTGTGGACATTTGCTCTCCTCTGTTTCTGATTGAGGTTAAATTTTCCCAGTAATGGTCATTGGTTTCTGCATTGTATTGTCTCAGATGTCACCCTTTGAGGAGTTTGATCAGACTATATTTGCAGTTAAGGACAGTACCATTGAGCCGGTTGACAGGCTCGCTCTTAATCTTGTGAAAGAGCAACAAAGGTAGTGCTTATGGTTTCATGGTGGCTTCTTTCCATATGCACATGCAAACACTACTACACATAATATGTGAAAACATTAAAGTTCCTTGGGCTTTTAGTCTGGAATTAGCATGTTGAGATGATAAAAAATACAGAGCATGTGATTTAGGGGGATTATTTCTGATACTTCCACTCTGAACATGTAGTTCAGTGTGTAGAAGTTTTCTAGTTCACTATACATCGACCAACCTAGTTTACAAACCTATACAAGTTGAAAAGACAATATTTTTAACTTCTAGTACACGGTCTTGAAATTTTTTTCCAGATCTCTATGTACTGAGGGCATCCTAGTTGTTGAACCTAAATAGTACTAACAGTGCACGCTTATTACTCTGTGCATGCAAATCTGGTTATGAACATTTCAAATAATAATCAATAAATTTGTTCTCGACTTAAGATGATTGAGAACTATAGGACATGTCAGATGTGTTTAGCCTGTATGTAAAGTTTTCAATCCATGCCTATCCAACAGAAAAAAGGGGATAAAAAGATTAATTTTGTTTGAACTTTTTTCCCTGTTTTGCCTACTATGTTATCAAAATGCTTGAGGTAATATGTGTTTCGTCGCTCTTAGTTCCATTTTGTGCTCCTACCACTCGTATAGCTCAGGTATACCAAAATTATGCGTTAATACCATGATGCTGCTTCTCAGTAATTAAAAGGAGATACACTGACACTGCCACTTCACTTTGCGCTGTGGGGTGTGCTAACTTGGACTAGTCGGCCAGAAGGTTATTTCTTAACTGCCTCTTTTGATTTTCTAAATGTGTGGTTGTGCGCATGAGATTTCCATTAGCCTTAGTATACTGAATAATTTCGATGAATATTCCGGAGGCTGTGGAGCATGCACGAGCGCAGGGCATGTCAACTTTCAAGAATACAGTTAACATAGATATAGTCCCAATTTCATTGCAGGTATACCTTTGTATTCACTTATTGTTTCATGGGTCCGTCAAAATAAAGTATAAGTAACGTTGGATTATTAAAGGCCAATGTTGTGATTCTATGTAGTCTGGGGAAATGTTGTGTACTGTACCAACAGAAAAAGTAGCAGGTTTCCCATCATTTTATGGGTCAAATGAATATGGTGAATACCCTTTACCTTATTTTATTGCTTGGTACCTTCTTTTCTCCTTCTGTTTTTCGTTTATGAATTTTCTCTGAAAGTTCGTTCACAGATTGGACTAAAGGACTAAGGCCTACCAAATGCTTAAGCGTAGGGGGCAGATGGTGGAAAGATAACCAAAGCCGGACAGAAGCACAGAGAAGAAAGAATGTAAAGGAGGAGGTAAAATACAAATATAGTTCTATTTTGTACCTAATTGACGTATATAATAGTTAATGGTGCGAGGAGCAATTCTCTTCTTGCAATTTCTCTGGGCCAGTTTGATGACTCCCGTCAATGTTTATTAATATGTTCATTTCATTTGCTTGAATTTATCATCAATAACTTGACTCACACTGAAGTTTGAAAAGTTTTCAAAACTTCGAAAGTCTTTGAAAATCTAATCTTCTTTCCTCTAACCATATATCCTTGAGTTTCAACAATTTCGGTAACAATACTTGGCCTCAACTTCAGCAACTAGATTTGTCATCTTGAGTTTCAACATAAAATTAACTTGCACAAGATAAACCTTTCCAACAATCGATTTCAAGGGAACCTTCCCAATGGTTGTTGGAAGTCGGGAAAGATTTTCAATTAAGTTGCAATATGTTTTTGAATTACTTCAATTGTTATAAATTAATTTTAATTTTATTTATAGATTTTCAAAAGAAGGAGAAATGATTATCATGTTATTTAAAGGCAATTTTAACGGTAATGGACTATATTGACTAATAATGCTAAAACATTGGACCAAATTGACCAAATTAAAAACAAAGGGACTAAATCTGGCAAACATGATAAACAGAGGGACTATTTTAGTATTTAAGCCTAAAAAATTTATCTTCTTACATTAAATTTATCAAGAGAATTTTCTATAGTTAAAATGAAGATTACTTTGAGGTCACCTGTTATGCTGTAGGCTTTGCCAACTCTTTCCAAATTCAAATTACATGGTACTTATACAAATTAATTGTTGTATATATTTCTTTAATAATGAACTCCTAACCATACAACTAAGGTTAATAAATACTCGAATCCAAAAGAAGTAGAACAGCTTTCTCTGGACCTTCCTAAAACGTCATTGAAGGGACTTAACTTGTCTCATAATGATCTTACAGGTCCAATTTTAGCAATCTTGAATGGTTAGATCTCTCTTCAAACATGCTTGTTGGTGAGATTCCTGGGCCATTGACAGATTTGACAACACTTGAAAATTCAACGTTGCGGAAAACCAACTTGTGGGGCCCATAGCTCATGGCAACACAATGTTGCGGAAAAGTTCAATGAGGTAATGAAATTAATGCAATATTAACATGTTTTAGTGCCGTAATTGCTTCTTCAAAGTTAGTAATGATACATGTTTAGGAATTGGTAGCTGATGAATGGAAGGCACAAGAAACTCTAGCATGTTAATGTGAGAGAGAGCATCAAAGAAAATGTGAAAGATTGAGCAAGATTCAAAGAACTGTGGCCGAGAGTTTGTAGTAGCTAGCTTTATATAGGATTTAATTTTTATATTATTTAGATTTATCTAAAGGATTGTTTTAATTTTATGTTGATGACTTTATTTATTAACTCCTTTCTTTTCTTTAGCCTAGAGAAATATAATGGATTTTCATAAATGAAAATTTAAAAGAAATTTTTGTTTATGAATTTGTTCTGAATGTTCCTTCAGAGATTGGACTAAAGGCCTAAGGCCTATCAAATGCTTAAGAGTGGAGACGGAAAGTGAAAAGACAAGTAAAACCATGAAGAATTAATGAGAGCGTGAAGAAGGGGGCAAAAGTCAAGAACGATCTTGATGGTCAATTTCTGAATACTCGTTCCGGCTTCTTCAATACGCAAATTCGAATCATATTTGGACCACTTGATTAGTACATGTTGCAGGACACCCAACTATGTGAAAAGACAAGCAAAACCATGAAGAAGCAGATAATAAGAATTAATGAGAGTGTGAAGAAGGGGGCAAAAGTCAAGAACGATTTTGATGGTCAATTTATGAATACTCGTTCCGGCTTCTTCAATACGCAAATTCAAATCATATTTGGACCACTTGATTAGTACATGTTGCAGGACACCCAACTATGTGAAAAGACAAGCAAAACCATGGAGAAGCAGAGAGAAGAATTAATGAGAGTGTGAAGAAGGGGGCAAAGAGTCAAGAACGATTTTGATGGTCAATTTATGAATACTCGTCCGGCTTCTTCAATACGCAAATTCGAATCATATTTGGACCACTTGATAGTACATGTTGCAAGACAACCCAACTATGTGAAAAGACAAGCAAAACCATGGAGAAGCAGATGAGAAGAATTAATGAAAGCATGAAGAAGGGGGCAAAAGTCACTGGTGACTACTAGTGAAGACAAGAACGATTTTGATGATCAATTATGAATACTCGTTCCGGCTTCTTCAATACGCAAATTCGAATCATATTTTGACCACTTGATTAGTACATGTTGCAGGACACCCAACTATGTGAAAAGACAAGCAAAACCATGGAGAAGTAGATGAGAAGAATTAATGAAAGCGTGAAGAAGGGGGCAAAAGTCACTAGTGACTACTTGTGAAGACAAGAACGTTTTGACAGTCAATTTATGATACTCGTTCCGGCTTCTTCAGTACGCAAATTCACTCATATTTGGACCACTTGATTGGTACATGTTGCAGGACACCCAACTAGTGAAAACACGCAAAAACCATGGAGAAGCAGATGAGAAGAATAAGAAAGCATGAAGAAGGGGCAAACGTCAATGGTGACTACTAGTGAAGACAGAACGTTTTGATGGTCAATTATTAAACCCAGATTTGCAAGTCAATGAAAATTAAGTGCCCATTTTCCAATTAATGAATGACGTAGGCCTTCACCCTCAATAATGTCAATTATATATCAACAATTCAAATGGTGTAGCAGCTAACAATGGACCTACACCTGTGTGACAATGGGACAACCTTATTGTCAAACTTTACCAACACCAAAGACAGCCACAAATCAAAGACTTGGTGCAAATGTTTTTCAATTTCTCCATAAAATTTGTCCAATGAGATGATTTAGGGAGCCCATTGTAGATGCTCTAATTGTTGTTATAATTTTTTGACTTTAATGCTATAATAGTTCCTTGTTTTATCCCATTAGCCAATTTAGTCCCTGTGTTAGCACTAATGTACTCAATCCGTTAAACTTCTATAAAATATTAATAAAATAAAAATATTTGAATTCAATTAAAAAAATAAATAACTAAGAAATAAAAATAAGATTGAAAAGCTAAAAGAAATAAAAATAATTAATCTCAACAGCAACACCCTTCTCTCTTCTCACTTTCCCCAGCTAGTTTCCCCATCCACACCCAAAAGCCCCAAATCCCCAAGCCACAGCCACATCCAAACTCTCCCTACCCCCCAACCAACCGAACCATTCTCTGGCCATTGGTCTCATCCAGTCGCGCTGCCCAGATCTTCCAGCACACTCAGCCACACGATCGTCACCCCAATCCTCCGCAACCCCATCGCTGAGCAGCCCCTCCCTCCCCGACCACAACCATCCTGTTTTTTGTTTTCTTTTTTCTAATTAAGTTGCAATATGTTTTTGAATTAATTTTAAATTTTATTTATTTATTTATAGATTTTCAAAAAAAGAAGAAAGGATTATCATGTTTAGGAATTGCTTCTTCAAAGTTAGTAATGATACATGTTTAGGAATTTGGTAGCTGATGAATGGAAGGCAAAAGGAATTGGTAGCTGGTGAGTTTCTGATGGTCAATTGGCAAAGTCAATGGTAAGCCAGAACGATTTTGATGGTCAATTTTTTGATACTCGTTCTGTACGTGTTCAATATTTGGACAATTTGATTAGTACAGGTTGGAGGTAACAGGTGGAACCCATTTTAACACGCAGAAATGCCTATGTCAATTATCGTCAAACTTTACAATGATGCTTGGTTGGTTATCTTTAAAGATGATAAATTACTATTCATTAAGCTTGTTATAAATATCAACATATCCAGTATGGAATTCCTCACAACTGTTTTATCACATAACTATATACTTTAGATTTTTAAAGAAAGATGGCTTGGTTGTCATGGTTGTGCCTCCTCTTCCTGCTCTCTACTACTTGTCAATTCAACTCTACTGTTCATCATCATCTTAATCTTTCCTTTAATCATCTATCCCTGAGTTTTAAACCATTTGAGTAACAACACCTGGCCTCAACTTTGTTCCTAGATTTGTCGTCTTGTAACATAAGTGAGTTCCCATACTTTCTAAGAGCCTCACAAAAGTTGTACACGTTACACCTTTCCCACAACGGAATCCAAGCCCACATTCCTAAATGGTGTTGGATTTGGGGAAAGATCATTGAGTGATTTGGATCTTTCTCACACTCTTTGACTGGCACTATAGGACAGCTTCGGTGGAAAAATCTTTACTATCTTGACCTTCGCAACAATTCACTCCAAGGAGAGCTTCTAATTCCGCCACCTTCCACATATTACTTTTCATATCAAACAATCAATTCACTGGAGAGATACCTTCAACAATCTGCAGCCTGAGTAGCCTTCAAATCCTTGATTTGTCTAATAATAATTTGAGTGGCAAAATTCATCAATGCATAGGGAATTTCAGTCAAAGCCTCTCTGTTTTGAATCTACGGAATAATAAATTTCATGGAGCAATTCCTAGCACATTTTCTAAGGGAAACGTTTTGAGAAATCTTGATCTTAATGGAAATCAGTTGGAAGGGTCGTTGCCGCCAAATTTGCGCACATGTAGAGAGTTGGAAGTTCTAGACCTTGGAAACAACAAAATTCAAGACACATTCCCAAATTGGTTGGAATCTCTTCCGAAGTTGCAGGTTCTTATCTTGAGGTCTAACAAATTCTATGGTGAAATATGCATTCCAAAAACTAAGTTTCCATTCCAAAAATTGCATATCATAGACCTCTCCAACAATCGGTTTAGCGGTCTCTTGCCAACAAAATATTTTGAAACGTTTGACGGCCATGATAAACTCGCAAGAACATGGACTGAAATATATGGGAGAGGGCTACTATCAGGATTCTGTGGTAGTTACAATTAAAGGCTTGGAAATTGAAATGGAGAAGATCCTGACGTTCTTCACAATTATTGATTTCTCAAACAACACTTTCAAAGGAGAGATTTCAAGTGTAATCAGTAAGCTTAAATCATTGAAGGGGCTTAACTTTTCTCATAATGAGCTTACAGGTAAAATTCCACCATCATTTGGCGAAATGAGCAATCTTGAATGGTTAGATCTGTCTTCAAACAAACTTGTTGGTGATATTCCGGAGCAATTGGCAAATTTGACGTCACTATCAAAGTTCAATGTTTCAAAAAATCAACTTGTGGGGCCCATACCTCATGGAAAGCAATTTGATACATTTGAAAATGATTCATACAGTGGAACAGGATTGTGTGGATTGCCACTTTCTAAAACATGCAGTGCACCTCAATCACCGCCATCGTCATTCCAACAAGAGGATGATTTGGAGCATGGGAATGGTTTTGATTGGAAGGTAGTGTTGATGGGGTATGCATCTGGTGTGGTAATTGGAATATCTATGGGATATCTTGTACTCTCTAATGGAACACCAGATTGGCTTGTTAAAGTGGTAGGAAGAAAGCAACGTCGTAGAATTGTGAAAATCACACAATGACGTGCTTGAAGAAACCATTCCAAAAGTTTATACATTTTCATATTGTATATCATTTTTCATGAATATTTTATTATGTCAAAGCGCCAATAAATATGCATGAATTTGAAAAGAGGATCCTCTTTACTTTTGTTAAAGTAGAATAATTGCTCGTGCATATTGTAATTTGTCAAACACAATTGACAAATCAATTCAATCAATACACGTAATTTGGCTCAACTATGTTATATACTCCTATAATTCTTCTCCTATGTTGATATGTCATCAGTTATACCTGATTCGTTCAAAAATTTGTCTTCTTCTTTGAAAACTCTTGAACTCTCTAATTGCCACTTGCAAGGAAAATTCCCAGAAAGCATTTTCCACCTACCAAATCTTCGACTCTTAGATTTAAACGATAACTATAACCTCACAGGTTATTTCCCCAAGTCTAACTAGAGCAGTCTGCTCGAGATGTTGGATCTCTCTTATACTAGAATCTCAGTACATTGGCATCATCTTGTATCTCAGTAATTGCTGTTTTGTAGGATCATATCCTGAATTACCTGGTAACCTCACACAAATAAGGTGGTTGGACCTCTCGTCTAACAGTTTTGGTGGCTAAATCCCATGGCCCGCTTTTAAATCTTGAGACACTCACTTACTTGGATCTTAGTCGCAACTATTATGTCGGTCAGTTTCCAGAAGTTCATAGCAACAATTGGTGGTTCCTATTCCTCAACACTTAACCATGCTCTTTTATATGAGAACCAACTCAACGGAACAATACCATCTTGGTTAGGTAGTTTGCCATCATTGGAGCAGTTAGACCTCACAAGTAACCAACTCAGCGATAATATCATTGAGTTCCAATCTCGTTCTTTGGAATTCCTTTCTTTAAGTGATAACAAGCTACATGGCCTAATTCCGAGATCAATCTTTGAACTTGAGAACCTTAGGAACCTTGGACTATCATCCAACCAACTCAGCGGTAATATCATTGACTTCCAATCTTGTTCTTTGTCACTGCTTGATCTATCATCCAATAACCTGAGTGGAAATTTGGAGTTTGAAAAGTTTTCAAAACTCCAAAGTCTCAGGGCGCTTAATCTTTCCTTTAATCATCTATCCTTGAGCTTCAACCATTTGAGTAACAACACCTGGCCTCAACTTGAGGCACTAGATTTGTCGTCTTGTAACATAAGTGAGTTCCCATACTTTCTAAGAAGCTCACAAAATTTGGGTAGCTTATTCCTTTCCCACAAACGAATCCAGGCCGACATTCCCAAATGGTTGTTGGATTTGGGGAAAGATTCATTGTCGTATTTAGGTCTTTCTCACAACTCTTTGACTGGCACTGTAGGACAGCTTCGGTGGAAAAACCTCCAGTATCTTGACCTTCGCAACAATTCACTTCAAGGAGAGCTTCCAATTCCACCACTTTCCTCATATTACTTTTTCATATCAAACAATCAATTCATTGGAGAGATGCCTCCAACGATCTGCAACCTAAGTATGCTTCAAATCCTTGATTTGTCTAATAATAGATTGAGTGGCAAGATTCATCAATGCATAGGGAACTTTAGTCAGAGCCTCTCTGTTTTGGATCTACGGAATAATAAATTTCATGGAGCAATTCCTAGCACATTTTCTAAGGGAAACCTTTTGAGAAATCTTAATCTTAATGGAAATCAGTTGGAAGGGTCGTTGCCGCCAACTTTGCTCACATGTAGAGAGTTGGAAGTTCTAGACCTTGGAAACAACAAAATTCAAGGCACATTCTCAAATTGGCTGGAATCTCTTCCGAAGTTGCAGGTTCTTATCTTGAGGTCTAACAAATTCTATAGTGAAATATGCTTGCCAAAAACTAAGTTTCCATTCCAAAAATTGCATATCATAGACCTTTCCAACAATTGGTTAGGGTTCAGGCAATGAAAGGGGCTTAACTTTTCTCATAATGAGCTTACAGGTACAATTCCACCATCATTTGGGTTCAGGCAATGAAAGACAAACAACGAAAGTTTTGATACCTCTTTAAAAATCCAAACAATTTTTTTCTCCTTATCCGAACTTTTTTTCGCATAGTTGGACAAGTATTGACCAAAGATACTTACCAAGACCAAAGACCAAAGATCAAATCAAAGCCTGGTAACTAACTAGTTACAATAATTTCCTAGTTACACCCATCTGACAATATAGATGCTTCACCCTCGATGTCAAAAGATGCTTGCTTGCTGATTTTGCAGGAAACAAACTCAAGTACTTGACATCTTAGCACTATGGACCTCGTGACATTGTGCAGAACATATGACATTTTTGAACAGTTCAAAAGTTTTAAAAAGAAAAATACAAAAATTAATCCACAACAAGTGATTGTGTGGGTGACATATTTTGACAGCAAATTGGACAAACTTTAAAAAAATGGCTTAAATGCTAAAATGGTCTCTGGTTTTACTACATGGTTAATTTAATCCCTATGTTTTTCAATTTAGCCAATTTAGCCAATTTACAAAACCGTGAAGAATTAATGAGAGCTTAAGATGAGAGCAAAAGTCAAGAACGATTTTGATGGTGAATTTATGATATACTCGTTCCCGGCTTCTTCAATACATAATTTAGCCAATTTGGTCCTTGTGCTCACGACTGTTAGTTAATCTGATCCATTCTGTTAATTTTCAGTTAATTTTTTTTTAAAATATTTAAATATTCATTAAAAAATTAAGAACTATACAAAAATAGAAAAATTCGCCTTTCTCAGCCACCTTCCCTTCTCTCTCCCCTTTTTCTCCCCAGCAACAACCCACAACCTTGTCTATCCCTACCCCAACCACTTTCTCCCCACCCAAAGGCCCCAACTCTAATCTATCCCACCCCTAATCTCTCTCTCTCTCTCTCTCTCTCTCTCTCTCTCAAATACAAAAAGCAAAAGGCCATTACCCCCGACCAGCTCCCAGCAAGATCTTCCCTAGCTAACCCAACCATTGCGTAGCCATTTCTCCACTACTCCACTACTCCACTTGCTAAGCAGCACTTACCCTCCCTGACTATGCCCATCCTTTTTATTCATGTTTTTATTTTTATTTTTCTAGTGTTATGTTATTGATATATTTTTAAATCAATTCAATTTTTTTAATTAAAAAAGCTTTATAGGTTTTCAAAAGAAAAAAAAAAGATTATTATGTTCATATATAACGGCAATTTTAACTGAATGACCAGATTGAATAGCGGTCCTAAACACAGGGACCGAATTTGCCAAAAAAAAACACAGGGACTAAATTATCCAACGTAGTAAAACACCGGAACCATTTAGTATCTAAGCCTAAAAAAATTGACCATAAGTTCTCAACTCGTTACTTTCATATAATTGAAGTCTTTAATTTAGTCAAAACAAATATGCGTAATAAATCTGTGAAATATGTTACGGAGAAAAATGAATGCTTACCCTTAATTCGGACTTAATTGCTAAAATTATAAAACTATAATATTATAATTATCAAAATAGAATGACATTGAGGGAATTTTTTTAAGGGGAAAATGAGGGAAAAAGGCACAAGCATTCGCAAATATATATGTGATCCACATTGCCTAATGAGTGGGTGAGTGCGTAGATGCAACGTTGCCCAATATGAAGCGGTGGTGACCATTCAAAAACTCCTTTTCTATTGATACCCTTCACTCCTATTCTAATAGGACAATTTCTTGGCAGAAAGGCAAGGATTGTTGCACGTGGAATGGAGTTACTTGTGAAAAGATGACTGGTTATGTGATCGGTCTCAACTTTGATTCTGGCGGGCTTCAAGGCAATATCCATTTCAATAGCAGCTTATTCTCTCTTGGCCATCTAAAGAGGCTAGACCTCTCTTCGAATGAATTCAGAGGTTCCCCAATTTCGTCCAAATTTGGTGGCTTTGTAAGTATGACTCACCTTGACCTCTCTGACTCCAATTTCAGTGGCCTAATCCCTTCCGAAATTTCCAACCTTTCTAGTTTCACTCACTCTCTCCCTAGCTGATGGCTTGAACAGAATTGTTCAAAACCTAACCAATCTTAAGGAGCTTCAACTGTCCGATGTTGACATTTCTTCAGTGGTACCTGATTCCTTCAAGAATATCTCTTCTTCTCTGCCAACTCTTGGACTCTTTGATTGTCACTTGCAAGGAAAATCCCCAGAGAGCATTTCCACCGACCAAATCTTCTTCCCGTAGATTTAAATTATAAGTGTTCTCAGAAGCATACCTAAGCGTGCTTCGGAGCGTGCGTCAAAGTGAGGCGGAGGGAAATCGCCTTAGGCGTATGGATGTTTAGCTTGTTGCACGCTTAGTGTCGCAAGGCTTGGTGAGGCGTGGCGAGGGATGCATGGTGAGGCGTGGAAGGCGCGAAGAAGCGCCGCTGTATGCAAGCCAGAGCGCGAGGAAGAAGACGACCTTGCTTGAATTTTTTTAGTAAGGGTTTGTTTTAACGAAACGACGTCGTTTCATCTACTTACTTAAGTTTTTTGGGAACTGAGTGTCTTAAACGCACGTTTTGGGTGTTTTTTTTCTTATAAAGCAAACATCATGCCTTTTAACCCCCCACTGAAACAAACAATACTTCCCTTTTATTTTTTCTTCTAAAGAAATACATTAATGGATAATTTGCATCACTTTTAATTCTCTCCATCAATTTTAATGGACCTATCTGTATATCCCTGTATGTAATTCTCTTTGTGCTAGATTCATGTATATATACATATATATATATATGTTAGTTTTTTATTTTATTTTTTTTCCAAACAACACAATATCCATAAAATCCACTAAAAATAATACTCAAGTCCACACATAAATGCCAAATATAATAGCATTTGATGTTTCGTGATGAGGAGTGGGATGCATGAATTGAGTTTTTCTTTTGATGTTGAATAAGTATTTTATGTTTTGGGATTGATTATTACGCTTGAATGATAATTAATACTTATATTTGATAGAATATTTTGGCTTAATAAGAATTAGTAGTACAATTTATCCATATTATATTATTTATAATTTTTTTATTAAATTAAATTAATGTTCAAAAGGCTTACGCCTCATTGCTTCAAGGCTTACGCCTCATATAGCGGATTAAAAACACCTCGTTTCTATGCCTCGCCTTTTAAAACATAACCTCACAGGTTATTTCCCCAAATAATTTAAGGCCAGTAATGGCTGAAGAGTTGAACTCACCAACCAGGCCAGCATCATTTACAGTGATTGATGTCAACACAGCCATTACTACAAGCTATCCTAAACCAATTCAGGGGGCAACCATTGGAGTCAAAGGTCTTTGAATCCATGAAACAAGAACTTCCCCATAAGGGTCTGCATTACCCCTTCTCTGTATCATAAGGGTCTGCATTACCCCTTGTCTGTATAATGTATGACGTATATGGCCAAAATTTACATGGAACGTAAAAGTCTATACAGGAATCAACTTCCTCAAACAGAGAAAATATAGAGCTAGAAACAAATTCGAATTAGAGAACAAACAGAAATAGAAACTTCAATAATATCATTCGACTTGGAAAAAATTGTTAATTCAGAATCACATCCTCAATTTCTTTATTCTTAGAAATTAAAGAATTGGTAATCAATTAATTACAAAGTGGAAACTCTAACCTATACATCATATCATATACAACAAATAACAGAGCCAAAGTGGCCTATAGCCTATGCTCAGTTTCTACACTTCATGAATAAATCTTGCCTTCCTCCCACCAGATTTCTCCTTCCTCCCAATCTCCATTCAAAAAGGCCTCCTCATCTTGACCTTGCAACTCATCATCTTGCTTGAGGTATACACCCAATTTCTTAAGAGGCAATCTGAGGCTGACCTTTTCACTGCCACAGCCGCACAGCATCTCCAGTTGTTTGAGATCCTTTAAAGGGTCCTCAAATTGCACTGACTTCTCCATATTCGAAATGGCACGACGAGCCGACTCCCTTTACTTAAACCCTAATTTACGTATTTTCTCGTATTTTACTTAATTTTAGTCATTGTAATAATCTAACCACCCATAACATGATAAGTTATCGTAAATAGAATGATTGGGTGAAAGCCACTAATGGAAACGCCAGTCGAAGAACTGAATGCCCAAATAACCCCAAAACCACATTTTATATAAAATAAACAAATAAACAAATAATTTTTTTTATAAAAAAATATATATCTATATATATATATATATAAAGCAAAAGACATAGAATGGTGAAACATTCAAAATACCATAAAATCACATTGGTTAATTCAAACATTAACAATTAAAATTATTAATTAAATGAGGATAATATGGTAAATTTGTTTTTTTATATTAAAATTAAAAATAAAATAAGATAATAGCTCATACGTACTTTTATAGAACACAACTACCAATATTATCTTTTTTTAATTTTAAAAATAAAATAAAAAATAAAAAAGAAAACCAATTGGCACATGCTCACGCATGTGCCAAGAGGCTAGTATATATATATATATATATATATATATATATATATATATAATAAATTAGGAATAAAATTGGATCCGGAGTCTTTGCTTGGATTTCCTTCGCTATGATTTGCTTGATTTCTCTTCTTCGCTTGCCACCTCATTTTTAAATTTCATTTAAAATCACATCAAATAGCTACAAAATTGGCATATCATACTTGAATTAAAAAAATTTAAAAAAATCAATTAACTCACGCTCAACCTATGTTGTACATATACAAATACGGGTACGTTGATATGATAAAGTATGATATGTCAAATATAAAAAAACTAGAATACGATAAGACAAGAACACGATAATTAAAGTAATATATTTAATTAATTTTATATGAATGATTATTGAATTAACATATTAGTTCTATTAATTAAGAGTGATGTTATTTCCATCCGTTGTCTTATTTCCCCACTCACTTTATCTTCAAAATTTTATAAACAAATTTACCCCTTTGTAAAGTGACTTTTAAGGGTTGAAGCTATAAAAACTCAATTTCATAAGAATTTAAAAAGAAAAAAACAATTCCTTAATTAAACAAAGAGACGCTAAACTGCAGCTCTTGTTTTCATATTAATCAAGCCATGTCTTTTCCCAATAAAAAAGTATTTCTTCTCTTTCCCATGTGATTAACAGTTCTTGGCAAACCCTAATGTTCAATCCCGCAAATATGAACTTCCAAGACAATATAGAACAACCATAGACACCTCGGTTCCCACATGTACCTATTATTGTAGCAAGTTATTTTGATTTTGCATCATTTAAACCTATAATCAAACTCAAATTAAACAAACCCAACACCAAAAAAAAATTATTATTCAAACAGTTAAATAAAAAAAAAAAAAAAAAAAAAAAAAAAAAATAAATCATTTTACAATGACAAAACACACAAGAAAAATCAATCAAAAGAATAGAATGTACTTCCATGTTTAATTATGAGAAAAATCAAATGAAGAGAATTTACTTGAATTAATAATTAAAAGGTATTTTAGGAATAATGGTGGGTGAAAATATAAGATTTTATTTTTTCAAACTTACATGGTGGGTGGAAAGGTGATGTGGGTGGGAAAATTGGAGAAATTATACAATAATTTCTAAGAAAATAGAAAAAAAAGGGTGAAAATAGCGGCACTCTTAATTAAATATATATTTGTATTGGGTATGGGCTAAAATGTCAAAAGTGTTTTATTAGTTGTATATATTGGGAGTTGATTTTCCCAATCATATTCTCTCCACTTACACTCCCTTTTACTTTTTACTACTTTTTAATTAATTGTGTTATTTTTTATTTTTTTATTTTATGTTAACTTTTCCGTTAAAGGTTAATGAATATATTTTTAAATCAATAAAAAAATAACTATAAATAATACAATAAGAAAATTGAAAAACAGGAACTAAATTTTCCAAAGAGGTCAAACACAGGAACCGATGTGACATTGATCTCGATCCTCTGCATTTATAATCTACTTATTTTCTCATATTTCACTTAATTTTAGTCGTAGTAATAAGCTAATGTAATTGACGTATTTTCTCGTATTTTACTTAATTTTAGTCATTGTAATAATCTAATCACCCATAACATGATACGTTATCGTAAATAGAATGATTGGGTGAAAGCCACTGCTGAGAGAATCGAGTGTAACGGAGAAAGTTGCAGAAAACCGTAACACAAGATAGACCATGGACCCCACATTAATGCTCAGTGGGACCTGGGCTTCAACTTGTAACTCCACCCTCCCCAATGATAAAAAGAAGGGAAAAGAAGAAAGGAAGACGACGTCAAAACACAGAAGCCATAGCCAAAACCACGCAAGCGACCACCACCCAGAGGCGGACCTGTTAAGAAGCAAGGTGGTGTAGCTGCACATTCCCTCGCCAGAAAATGTCTTTGTCTTTTTACTTTCATTTATTTTTATATTACTTCATTTACTTAAGTTTACAATGTAAATAAGGAAGTACCTTATAGACCAAAAAGGAAGAAACAGAGAGTTCTTTTTCTTATCTGTTTTCCTCTTCTCTTCCAAATTGTATCATGTCTATTTGAATATGCTGCTCTTGGTACGAATACTTTTACTGGATCTGGAAATTTCATAGCCACATTATTTATTTGTCATCTTTTTTCAATTTATGCTTTTGGGTGGTTTCAAATTCAGCTCTGGGTTTGTTTTATAGCTTTGGTATTGGGTTTCTAAGTCTGAAGGTTGGTTTCCTTTGTGGAATTATTTGAGGATTTATTTCGATAATATGTTTTGTTTATGGGTGCACATAACTGGGTGGTTTTCTGGGTAGGCTTTTGACATATTAGGTTCATTTATTGGCAGTTAAATAAAGATAGGAAAAAAAAATCACTCTACAGTGACAAAACACACAAGAAAATCAATCAAAAGAATAGAACATAAAGAAAATATAACTCCCATGTTTTAATTATGAGAAAAATCAAATGAAAGAGAATTTGCTTGAATTAATAATTAAAAGGTATTTTAGGAATAACGGTGGGTTCCATATAAGATTGTATTTTTTCAAACTTACATGGTGGGTGGAAAGGTGATGTGGGTAGGGAAATTGGAGAAATTATACAATAATTTCTAAGAAAATAGAAAAAAAGAGTGAAAATAGCAGCACTCTTAATTAAATATATATTTGTACTAGGTATGGTATGGGCTAAAATGTCAAAAGTGTTTTATTAGTTATATATATATTGGGAGTTGATTTTCCCACTCATTTCCCTCCACTTACACTTTTTTTTACTTTTTAATACTTTTTAATTAATTGTGTTCTTTTTTTGGTTTATAATTTTCTTTTAACTTTTCCGTTAAAGGTTAATGAATATTTTTTAAATCAATAAAATATAACTATACATACAATAAGTAAATTGAAAAACACGAACTAAATTCTCCAAAGAGGTCAAACACATTGATCCCAATCCTCTGCATTTATAATCTACTTATTTTCTTGCATTTAGCTTAATTTTAGTCATGGTAATAATCTACTTAAACCTTAATTTACGCATTTTCTTGTATTTTACTTCATTTTAGTCATTGTAATAATCTAATCACCCACAACATGATACGTTATCGTAAATAGAATGATTGGGTGCCACTGCCGAGAGAATCGAGTGTGACAGAGAAAGTTGCAGAAAACCGTAACGCAAGATAGACCATGGACCCCACATTAACGCTCAGTAGGACCTGGGCTTCAACTTGTAACTCCACCCTCCCTCCCCAATGAAAAAAGAAGGGAAAAGAAGAAAGGAAGACGACATCAAAACACAGAAGCCATAGCCAAAACCAGGCAGGCGACCACCACCTCCTCGTCAAAGTATTTGCTCAACTACCATTACCTTATAGACCAAAAAGGAAGAAACAGAGAGTTCTTTTTCTTATCTGTTTTCCTCTTCTCTTCCAAATTGTATCATGTCTATTTGAATATGCTGCTCTTGGTACGAATACTTTTACTGGATCTGGAAATTTCATAGCCACATATTTATTTGTCATCTTTTTTCAATTTATGCTTTTGGGTGGTTTCAAATTCAGCTCTGGGTTTGTTTTATAGCTTTGGTATTGGGTTTCTAAGTCTGAAGGTTGGTTTCCTTTGTGGAATTATTTGAGGATTTATTTCGACAATATGTTTTGTTTATGGGTGCACATAACTGGGTGGTTTTCTGGGTAGGCTTTTGACATATTAGGTTCATTTATTGGCACCTTAAAGAACTGATAGAGTATGGATTCTTTAAAGTTCCTTTTTTTCATTCATTTCAGATTCATTCCTGATAAAAAATTTGTAAAATTTCATTTCTGTACACTAGTACTATATTGTATTTGTTCCTTTTCTTGAATGTTTTCAATCATGGCCTGCTGCTACCAGTAATTGAATCTGGTTCTGGTTGGTGCTTGGCTGTCTGCTGCTGAGTATGTGATGTTGGGTTTTGTTTGAGTCTTCAGCCTTCTTTTCTAATTGTCTCATACTTCTGTAACTTTAGGATTCAGTCTTAAGGAAGTTTTTATGTGTAATTCTTTTCTTTCTCTGTTGATGCTTACTTTTGATTGGACTCCTATCTTTTTTTGTATCATAATAATCTTTGTTCTCCTTTCCATTGTAATCACAAAAGGTTCCTTCTTCACACAAACCACTTCTATGGAGTTCAATGCTTTTTGGGTCCATATTTTTGAATTAAATATTCATGTGTTTCCTTCTCTCCGCCCTTTGGCTTGTGCTTGTCTATTATAAAACCATCATCTTTTGAAATATTCAAATTGTTAAAATGTTTCAGGTATAAATATTTATAATATGGAAGGTATTGTAGTAAGAAGGGTTATTCCCTCAGAAATAGTTGCCTCTTCAATGCGGTGGGTAAGCTCCAATACAACCTTCTATTCTATCCATTGTCTATTGCAATGAACTGAGCTGCGTCATTTAAGGTCAATTTTTCTATTCAATAGTCACCCTTCATTTGTAGGTATGCTATGGACCATGACAAGAAAAAAGCTCCTGAGTTGAGACAGGTATATGAACATTCAGGGATTAAAAGTACACCCATCATTTAAGGTAAGTTTTTGTGCATATATAGCTCCATGTTTGTATTAAGCATGCATAGGTGCGATACTTCCTAATCATTTTGTGGTCATCCATGATGTGAAGGTTATAGCAGCAACAGTAGCAAGTGATCCAACTATGTGTTCTGATGCATTTCTCGGTAAACCAAATGAAGAGTATGTGCTTGGATTCTGACTCTCAGAAGTGGGGAGGTTTGTTAAAAATAAATAAACTTTCCTTTTCCTACGTATATGAATATTAGTTATGAAATTAAATGCACAATGAAAAGCTTTTCTTGTGAAAGTTTTGCTTATTTCTGATAGCCAACTAAGTATCTGAACCTTAGGAGATGATAAAAACCTTAGGAGATGATAAAAAATACAGAGCATGTGATTTAGGGGATTATTTCTGATACTTCCACTCTAAACATGTAGTTCAGTGTGTAGAAGTTTTCTAGTTCACTATACATCGACCAACCTAGTTTACAAACCTATACAAGTTGAAGAGACAATATTTTTTAACTTCTAGTACACTGTCTTGAAATTTTTTTCCAGATCTCTATGTACCGAGGGCATCCTAGTTGTTGAACCTAAATAGTACTAACAGTGCACGCTTATTGCTCTGTGCATGCAAAATCTGGTTTATGAACATTTCAAAATAATAATCAATAAATCTGTGCTCGACTTAAGATGATTGAGAACTATAGGACATGTCAGATGTGTTTAGCCTGCATGTAAAGTTTTCAATCCATGCCCTATCCAACAGAAAAAGGGGATAAAAAGATTAATTTTGTTTGAACTTTTTTCCCATGTTTTGCCTACTATGTTATCAAAATGCTTGAGGTAATATGTGTTTCGTCGCTCTTAGTTCCATTTTGTGCTCCTACTACTCGTATAGCTCAGGTATACCAAAATTATGCGTTAATACCATGATGCTGCTTCTCAGTAAAAGGAGATACACTGACACTGCCAACTTCACTTTGCGCTGTGGGGTGTGCTAACTTGGACTAGTAAAGATTTTCTAAATGTGTGGATTTTGTGTGTTTCTTGGCTCCAACTTAGTGAGCTGGAGTGCTAAGAAGCAGCCTACAGTCGCTCGTTCGTCTACTGAAGCTGAATATCGATCCCTGGCTTACACTGCTGCTGAAGTTACATGGATCTGCAAAGTCTTTCGAGATTTTGGTTTCTCCTCCTCTGTTAAACCTACCATTTGGTGTGATAACATTTCTGCTATCTCCCTTGCATCAAACCCTGTTTTTAATGCGATAAGCAATTCTCTTCTTGCAACTTCTCTAGACCAGTTTGACGACTCCATCAATGTTTTATTACTATGTTCCATTTCATTTGCTTGAATTTATCTTGAGCAAAAATCTCTGCATTTTCAATAAATTTGCTTAAAGTTACTCTTTTGTTGGTTTTGGTAAGAAACAAACCCCGACAATCTATCATCCAATAACTTGACTCACACTGTGAAAAGACAAGCAAAACCATGGAGAAGCAGATGAGAAGAATTAATGAGAGCGTGAAGATGGGGGCAAAAGTCACTGGTGACTACTAGTGAAGAAAAGAACGATTTTGATGGTAAATTATGAACCCAGATTGGCAAGTCAATGAAAATTAAAGTGCCCATTTTAACACGCAGAAATGCCTATGTACGTACCAAGACCAAAAATGACCAAACATCGAAGACTTGGGGCAAATTTTTTACAATTAGATGAATGGACTTAGGCCTTCACCCTCAATAATGTCAATTATTGACAATTCGAATTGGTGTAGCAGCTAAAGGACTAAGGCCTACCAAATGCTAAGGGTAAGGGCAGACAGTGGAAAGACAACCAAAGTCGTATAGAAGCACATGAGAAGAAAGAACGTAAAGAAGGGGATAAAATAAAATATAGTTCTATTTTACAATTGTTAATTGACGTATATAATAGATGATTCCTAAATTATTTTGTGATTGCACAATTCTTAATAGTGATTAGCATTAGTGTTTTTTTTGTAGAAATGTCACCTAAACTTGTACCTCAGTTTCAATTTGTCACCTTAAAGAAAAATTTAAGAGAAATGTCAACATTATTTTACAAAATCCAATTTTCCATCCATTTTTAAGGGTATTTTAATCTTTCCATTTTTAAGGAAATAAAAGAGAGAAAAAGAGACATCTCTCTCTCTATCTCTCTCTCTCTCTTCCCCTTTCTCCCCTGCCCCAATCCCACGCTAGAGTGATAAACACTTCATGTGCAAGGAATAACGTTAAAGTTGTTCCACCTTTTCCTACAAAGAAAAGTTGGTACCTTTTTTTTTTCTTTTTTTTTTAATTTATGAATTTTCTCTGAAAGTTCATTCACAAATTGGCCTACCTACCAAATGCTTATTTTCATTATTAGGATGCACAAGTTTCCGAATAAATACAAAGCTGCAAATGCCTTTATATAAAGTTAAAGTCGGACAAAGTAGTGTCTATTAATTTGTTGATAACGTACTAACATATGGACAAGAAAGATTCATATTTGGACAATTTGACCATCAAAATTAACACGCATAAATGAAATGAGCATAAAAAGACGACCAAATATCAAAGACTTGGTGCAAATTACAATTCAACATCTTTAATTATCCATCTCAGGCCTCTGGAAACTTTTCATGCCGTTACAATAATTATTTGTTTATTTTTTTGTTGAATTCATGCCATAACACTTACAATGGATATTAATGGTGCTTTGTTATCTAAAGAAGATAAAATACTTGCATGATTAAATAGCCAATCACATTTACGAAGGATATTACTTTTGTTTTGTTTTGTTTTTTTTTGGGTCGAATTAATGTTGCTATACGCAAGCACATTTTTCTCATGCACAACTTGCCTGATTAATAATAGCCAAAGAAGAGAAAGAATAATGCAAAACATTAATCACCAACGCACCAAGTATAATGTCTGCCGACGTTATCTCTTCTGCTTACCAGCACTAGAATGCATTAATTCCTAATACATTGGTAATAGCAAATTGAAGGTGCTGTTTTTTTAAAAGATACTTAGTAATATACCCATTCTTAGCACTAAAACTATAAATAAACCCAACATTATTTCATTTTTATAAACATACCCAAAAAAAAACCCAAAAAATGGCTGATGGTCCTATTGAATTTAATTTTAATTATTAAATTACTTTGATGCCCTATTGAGTGTTTTGGGCTTTTTTATGAAATTTTGGGTTGGTTGTTTAAGAAATCAATGACAATTTTGTAATTTAAAAGAAGTTAAAGTCTTTTTGTTATGTTGTAAATGGGCTTTAGGTGTGTTTATAAATTCCATTTCATATAGGTTTTTATTTTATTTTATAATTTAGGCTCCTATATTGGGTATATTAGTGAATCTCCCTTTTTAAATCCAAAAACAGCCAACCCAGTCCACCAATCAGCCGAAAGTTGCTTCATACTTATGTTCCACTTGTTCCTTTGCTTTTTACAAAGGTGACCCATCCAACATCCACAATCATGCTTACTATTTATTAGTTAAAATTTAACTAAAAATACAAAAAAGTTATTTTAAGAGCTCTTTAAAAAATTTCAACTCCAATCATACTCCATAATTTGGAGATTCATAAATGCTTTACTTTTTTTTTTGGTCATAAATACTTTATTTCTTTTTAAATTTAATTTTTTTTGGTTGGCTGATTGCTGTCCAGTGAATGTTGATTATCATTGCCATCATTTGAATACTGATTGTTACGATTCAAATCTCCACCCAAAAGATTGAAGAAATCACTACTTTGAGAATCCATCTAGCCATAGAAAAGAGACCCAACAAAAAAACACTCTAGCAAGCGAATGAACATATCCAATATAAATAGCTAAATTCCAAGAGTTGTTGGTCTTTGGTTGTGCAAAAGCTTTCAATTAAAATTCTATTTTTTGATGAACTCCAATTCAATTTTCATTTTGAGTTTTGTAGCAAATAATGCCAACGGTAAAATGTATTCAATTCAAGAGTTGTTCGTCTTTGGTTGTGCAATTCAATTTTGATATTATATGGTTTTTGTGTTTTAAAAGTGTTTGTGTTTTGCAAAATACCTACAGGAAAAAGAACTATAAAAAATAATAATAATAAAAAGGTGTTTGTGTGCTACAAATGTCTACAATGAAAAGAATTGAAAAAAAAATTTTACTTGTGCTTTGCAAAACACCTACAGCAAAAAGAATAGAAAACACAAAAAGTGTGCTGCAAAATACTTAAGCAAAAGGAAATGATAAAATCCTTAAAAATATATGCTTGTGTTTTGCAACGTGGAAAGGTGATTAAAAATATAAAATGCAGAAAAAAAATGATAAAATTAAAGACATCATTAAATAAAAGTTTAAAATAATAATAAAATATAGTACCGAGTCACTAGGGGCCCTTTCTCTCTCCTTAGATTTAGGAGCTCCTAAGGTCTCCTTATTTTAGGAGCTAGATAGAGAGCCTGATTGGAGGTGTGCTTTTCAATTCCTCCCCAAATTTTAGCTAAGGAGGTGGTTTAGGGAGCCCATTGTGGATGCCAGAACCTGACTTTAGACATCTCACATGGCAATTACTTGGTACATTTGATCAACTAACACACTATGTGCCTCTTGACACTTCCAAGGGTCACTTAACCAAAGTAACAAGTAATTCTACCTTGAGCCAATTTACAACATATCACACAATCAATTAACTGGACGGATGTCTACAAATGATTTGCAGCTTGAATATCCTTCAAATCCTTGATTTGTCTAATAATAGATTGGGTGGTAAAATTCATCAATGCATGGAAACTTCAGTCAAAGCCTCTTCGTTTTGGATCTAAAGAAGAATAAATTTCATGGCTTGATTCCTGGGACATTTTCTAATGGTAACGTATGAGGAATCTTAACCTTAATGGAAATCCGTTGGAAGAGCCGTTATCACTATCTTTGCACACATGTAAACACTAGGAACTTTCTAGACCTTGTAAACAACAAAATACGTGACACCTTATGTGGGAACACATATTTCACCGGCCAATAAGAAAATGACATGTGGAAAAAGGAATATTCCTTATGTCAACTAGAGTTATAAACATTTCATGTGCAAGTCATAATGTTACAGTTGTTCCATCTTTTACTACAAAGAAAAGTTGGTACCTTCTATTTTTTATTTACTGTTTTTCGTTTATGAATTTTCTCTAAAAGTTCATTCACAGATTAGACTAAAGGACTAAGGCCTACCAAATGCTTAAGGGTAGGGGCAGATAGTGGAAAGATAACCAAAGCCGTACAGAAGCACATGAGAAGAAAGAATGTAAAGGAGGACGTAAAATACAAATATAGTTCTATTTTGTACCTAATTGACATATATAATAGCTGATTCTTATATTATTTTGTGATTACAAAATTCTTAATTAATAGTGATTAGCATAATTTTTTCTCAGTTGCTAATTACAATAATACGCGTGTTCTAATTTCTTCTTTTTCATCTTAATATGATTTCTTTTGTTAATGCATTTGATAATTGTATTTTCTTATAGTTAGTGGTGCGATAAGCAATTCTCTTCTTGCAACTTCTCTAGACCAGTTTGATGACTCCATCAATGTTTTATTAGTACAAGATAAACCTTTCCAACAATCGATTTCAAGGGAACCTTCCCAAATGGTTGTTGGAAGTCGGGAAAGATTTTCAATTAGTTGCAATATGTTTTTGAATTACTTCAATTGTTATAAATTAATTTTAATTTATTTATAGATTTTCAAAAGAAGGAGAAATGATTATCATGTATTTAAAGGCAATTTTAACGGTAATGGACTATATTGACAATAATGCTAAACATGTGGACCAATTTGACCAAATTAAAAACAAAGGGACTAAATTGGCAAACATTAAAACAGAGGGACTATTTTAGTATTTAAGCCTAAAAAATTTATCTTCTTACAATTAAATTTTCAAGAGAATTTTCTATAGTTAAAATGAAGATTACTTTGAGGTCACCTGTTAGCTGTAGGCTTTGCCAACTCTTTCCAAATTCAAATTACAGGTACTTATACAAATTAATTGTTGTATATTTCTTTAATATGAACTCTAACCATACAACTAAGGTTAATAAATACTCGAATCCAAAAGAAGTAGAACAGCTTTCTCTGGACCTTCCTAAAACGTCATTGAAGGGACTAACTTGTCTCATATGATCTACAGGTCCAATTTTAGCAATCTTGAATGGTTAGATCTCTCTTCAAACATGCTTGTTGGTGAGATTCCTGGGCCATTGACAGATTTGACAACACTTGAAAATTCAACGTTGCGGAAAACCAACTTGTGGGGCCCATAGCTCATGGCAACACAACGTTGCGGAAAAGTTCAATGAGGTAATGAAATTAATGCAATATTAACATGTTTAGTGCCGTAATTGCTTCTTCAAAGTTAGTAATGATACATGTTTAGGAATTTGGTAGCTGATGAATGGAAGGCACAAGAAACTCTAGCATGTTAATGTGAGAGAGAGCATCAAAGAAAATGTGAAAGATTGAGCAAGATTCAAAGAAACTGTGGCCGAGAGTTTGTAGTAGCTA